ATCTAGTCAGATTACCAGGCTACACTCTCCTGTGAGTAGCCTCCAAAACAAGTGATATTTTATTTTATTTTTAGGCCTGAAGACGTAAACTACCTGTTGAAATATGGAAAAGAGCAACGTTACATAAAATCGTAGCTAAAATAATCTCCTTCAGGATTGAACCTGATCTATGGCACCATGCTACAAACAAAGAAATAATGTATATATGGTTATTCATGCTTTGTACCTCTTTGGGTTGGCTGGAGTCAAGTTTTTCAGCCAAGACTTGCAGCTGCTCTTGTCTGATGAATGCATAACTCTATAAAGGAAGAGCAAAGATAAGAATTATGCAAATTATAATTTATTGTTTAATCTTATTGCTGGTCATTTATTGTTTGCTAGCAGGACGCCAGCAGTTTCCCTTGAGTTAAAAAGAAAAGATATAATACTGGTCCCAGGTCGTTTTCAATATTTAGAGGCTGTAAAGACAGAAAATGTGATGGTTGATGACATCTGATATTGTGTCTCTGACCTGGTTGAAGGAGGAGTCGCTATCCGAGCAGTTGTCAATGTATTGGCTGTTTGACTGACTGTGCTGCCTCTCTCTGTGCATCTCCTCCTTCCTCATCTGGTCCTCCTCAAATTTGTTGATTAAAGACTCTACAATGATGATCATGGTGTTTTTTAAGGTCTGCATCATCTGCTGGTACCTGCCACAGAGAAATAAAGAACTTTTATCACAATATTAATGTCATTTTAAAAACATTCCGCTTAAGTCAAAAACAAGAATTATACTGTGGATGTCAATGAGATTTCCTGTGTGAATAAAATGTCCCCCTGCCAACAGTCAGGTCCATTACACTGGATGGCATTAGTTGTTTATTTAATACAGGATAAGCCTCAACTGTGCAACTACTTTAGAAATCAAGAGGAACTCCTCTCTAAGCTTTTCTCACTTCTCTGTGCTACACTCACTCAGCTGAGTCCCTGGTCCTTCGGGTGATGGCATGGATCAGGGTGTCGTGACCTGAGCCAATTGCATGTTGTCCCTCTCCTCTTGTCAAGTTCTTGGTTTCCTCCTCCACCACTGTCCCCAGAGAGCTTTCCACATACTGACGGAGGTACTTGACAAACTCATAACTGAAAGGAGAGCAACGACAGGGATTAGACCTGGACCTTCAGAGTTAACGCCCCACTGAGTCTGGTGGCCTTACTTGTGGAAATTCTTGTCTGTCTCCTCCAGGTGAAGGAGGATCTCTTCAGCGCATTCAGTCGACGGCGCACCAGAGATCCTGTCGTTGACGCTTATCAGGAGCAGCTTGAGCAGGGACTGCAACTCCAACTCATCTTCTGCGGACAACTGAGACATCCCGACGGCTGCTCCTGAAGATGGAACAGAACATAGGGTCATTTGTGGAGGTCACAGATGACTTCCGTTTAAGGAGGCGGATGAATTAATTTAGTTTGTTCATCTTTGGAGCCACTGCGAAATTAGCAAAATAACGTTAGATGGAGCAGCAAGTTATATGTTTTGGATTGTTGGACAGAGTAAACCCTCCAAATCCATCTTTTAATGTATGATTCAAACTGTTTCTTCTAATCAGTGTTGTGAATACTGTTATTTGCTGTTGTTTCCTACGTTTGAAGAAGTGTTCACCCCAATTTACCTCAATTGTTTTGGATAGTGTTTCTGGGGCTCCAACACTTCACCCACTCCTCCATCGGTCTGGTGGTGCAGTAGTGAGCAAAGCTAATTCCACAACAGGATCCAACCACACGTCTGAGGACACGACGATGATGATGATGATGAGTTAATAGTGAGATGTTGTGTTTTCACTCTGCAGACAAAGCCAGCGAGACTCTCCGCTCCCTCTGGTTGACCTGAGCGTGTAGCCCAGCTAGCATGCTAACAACAAAGCCAGGCGCAGAGCTAACGGTAATTCGTCAATAGAGTGACTGAGCGAGGCAGCGGGATTTTCTGACCTCGACCTCGAACCACCTGCCCCGAGTCCGTGGGAGAAGCAGCGGGGGACATTTACCTCCGTGTCCGCGCGTCTGGGGACATTAAGACAAAGCTTCTCGTCGAGCTAGCGTCCTGTCAGCCGCGTCTCCATGGAAACGGCCAGCGTCAACTGCTGTGCATTGTGGGAAGAAAAAACTAGACGCCGCATTCAATAACTTCGGGAAAAACGGGGTTTTATTGAATAAACACGTAATGAGATGAACCAAATGTTTAAATTTGAGCAGCACGTTAAAAAAAAAAAAAATCCGCAGCTTTATACGTTCCCTAAAAAGAAATCCAGGAGGTGAGGGTAGAAACAAAGAGAAAAAGTCTGTAGTCTGGTAAAAAAAGAAAAGAAAAATAGATGAACACAACTGAAATGTGGACACACCGAAGATTTAAACAGATAATAACAACGGTAGCTTTACAAAGGAATCAGATTCATTAAATAGAAACCGAAGGAAAAACTCGATATTGGATTTATATCTTATCCTAAAGTGTAGCTTGGCTTCGGGTCGTCGGTCTCTCCTGGGTTTTGAACGCATCGCGGCTGAACGCACCTCGTCACGTGACTCAATGTTGTGATCCCGGCTGCACGCGCAGGTGACAGCTTCTCCTCGTGCGTCAGCTTCAGTCTCTCAGTCTCGTCACAAACTTTTCATTTTGAATTAATATCCGACACTGACGTTGCTTCCCGGGAACCATCGCGTTGAAGTGGCCGGAGCGAGCTGCGGCTAGCTACACTAGCATCGGCGCGGTTTTGGAGCATGGCGGCGGTGGACAGCTTCCAGCTGCTGCTCGGGGAGGTGTCCCGGTGGTGCAGGTCTTACTGCGACACCCTGGCCCTGGTGGGGGCTGTGTACGCGGCCAGCAGGGCGGTGGTGCTGCTCAGAGGCTGCTGCTCGGTGGTCAGGGTCCACGTCCTGCCGAGGGTCCTCCCGAGCCAGAAGCTGACCCGCAGATATGGAGACTGGGCCGTCGTCTACGGTGAGGATGCACCGCCGGAGAGGCTGGGCCCTTTTTATTTCATCACACTCAGTCTGGGCTGCTGCTGCTGCTGTCAGAGATTGAAATGGAGGAAACATCTTCAGTGCATTATAAACTAGATCAGTCAATACAACCTGTCTTATGTTATAGTGGGATTAATAAAGCATTATATTGTCTTTTCTTGTTAAGGTCATTGTGGTGTTGTTACTGTGCAGCAGCTGTTTATTGTGTCGTTGTTGTCCTCTCTCTTCTGTCAGGAGCGTCGGAGCCAGTGGCCGGAGCGTACGCAGAGGAGCTGGCCAAGCAGGGTGTCAGCATCATCTTTGTCACTCACGACCAGATGGACGTCAGGGACGCCTCTGCCTGCCTCTCCGAGAGCTACGGGGTGGAAACTGTTGTTGTCCACGCTGACTTCTCTCAGAACCAGGCAGCCAGCAGTCTTGTCAAAGAAGCCATGAGGGGCAAAGATATCGGCTTCCTGGTGACCTGTGTGGACGAGGCTCTCACTTCCCCCCAGAGTCTGGTTGAAATTCCTGAGCAGGGCCTGTTGGATATGGTGAATAAGAATGTGGCGGTCGCTACTCTGATGGCCCGGTTGGTGCTGCCCGGGATGGTGGAGCGCAGCAGAGGAGCTGTGGTCAATATATCATCGGGTGCCTGCTGCAGACCTCTGCCAGAAAGAGTGGCACTCACGGCCTCCACTGTGAGTCACAACACTGCTGATATCAGCCTCGTATGCATGCACACACATCAGGAAACACAAACCAGACAATAACACCTTTCTCCTCCTGACACTTCAGGGCTACCTGGATCATTTCTCCAGAGCTCTTCACCTCGAGTACAGTGGTAAAGGGATCTTTGTTCAAAGTCTGATTCCCTTCCAGGTAAGATACCTGACAGGACCATTACAAAGAACAGCTGGATGTCCAGTTTCAGACCAAGATGTATTATGCACTTACAGCTGGCATCACATACCTGAGATCTTTGGTTTTTACTTTCACTGTTTTTAATCCATAAATTAAGATTGTTATTAGTATAAAATAATTGCTGAAATACCCTGAGTACAATTACAATAACTTGTATCACAGTTCCTCATATACTGTGTGTGTTTGTGTACCTAGATAGCGTCAAGCAAGCGACAACCATCAACATCGACATCATCAGGTGAAGGCTGGTTTGTGCCAGAACCAGACGTTTACGCTCACCACGCCATCTCCACCTTGGGCGTGTCCAGTCGGACCACAGGATACTGGCCTCACACACTGCAGGTCGGTTGATGTGGAATATATTGGTCTCAGTTCTACTCAAGCTGCTTTGTTTTTGGCCTTTGTGGAAACAGGTTCTAAGATATAAAATTAATTTCTGTTTGATCAGTTTTTCTTGTCTCTTCACAGTATGGATTGATGAGGTGTATTCCAGAGTGGATTTGGGTTCTCGGATCTCGTCTGCTCATCAGTACAATCTAGATCTCCGCTCCTCAAACAGACTAACTCACTGGACCTTGCTGTTACTGGAGTCATGTGGTTTTATTTGAGTTTCTTCTGCGATTGTTAAAGAGTACAGCTCTGTTTGAGGAGACTGTAGTTTTCAGGAATCTCTCCTCTCGGTTTTTTGTCGGTTATAATCTGAAGTGGTATTGAGAAATATATAAATTAGTTCATACATATTTTCTTTAATACTGGATGGTGATGTGAAAAATGTTTAAATTTACCAGATAACCTGATAGTAAATGTAATAAATGTCTTTGCAGTGCACAGACTCGAGGTGGGAAACTGGGTTTGACTTGAACGTGAACTTTTATTCTTTTATTCTTGTCCTAGTTCCCAACAGTGCCAGAGAATAACACTCTGTGCCAGGACGTTAAAGGCATTAGACCCACTGGACTGTTAATCCCTTGTAAGAGATTATTTCGAAGGCCAAATGTGATTGTACAATGCTTTATTTTTCTTTGCAGTTTGTATTAACAAGTTGCACATTGAAACACTCCTACGTTATAAAAAGTTCAAACTTTGTTATTGATAAGTAAGGGGGGGTCAAAGGTACAATGAAAAGTGTTGGACAAGAAGAACAGGCCAGCTCAGCAATAAGAGACAAAGAAGAAATTGTATTTTCATATGTGTTTGCATTAAATATCTTCTTTTGAACGTGATTCAGACTGTTTTGTGTTCTTGTATGTGATCTGAAACGTTGACTGTGGTCTACGTGCTGAAGGCCACACTCCCTTTTTCTCCAGAAATATCAGGAGAGTGTAAATCATTGACATTTACAAACATACACCATGCCAGGGTTTATCCTGTGACCTCCTGAGATCAGCCGGGGTCAGACACTGTGTTTAAACCTGTAAACACATGTGGTGCTCGAAACACGGGACGTGCTTTTACTGGGTTTAAACAGGAAGCTGTAAATACTGTAAATACGGTCCAACGATTTACAGCGATTTGGAGTTTTTCTCCGAAGCAGGTAAAATCCTGCATGAAATAGGTTGTGATGAAATGAAAGAAACGAGAAGATTCAATAATAAACATTCATAAAACTTCTTTTGGTTCCAAGTAATTATAATTATAATGGTAAAAACAAAAAGAAAGAGTTCAAAATTAATTTATCAGTGCGATTGTTGCCATTGGTACTTTGGTGTTGTTGGTGAAACTGGAGGAGAGTCCTGCCTCCCACGCTTCCCGTTGGTGCGGCTCTGAGGCCCGCAGCATTTGAATCAAACCATTTTCAAACTCTTCGGTTGCTTCTCATATTTTTTTTAACTTTCACCAGACGCTCACATTCGTTGTTAGGACTGGAGGTTTCGTTGTTGTGGTTAGGACGATGTCCTTCCTGATAAGACGCCAAAGAGACAGTGAAAGGACGAGTGCCTCTTCTTCTTCTCCTTCACTCCTCCTGTTCATCGTCCTCTTGAGGCATCGCTCGCTTCTCTCACCGTTTTCCTAAGTGGGATCATTTGAGCGGTGAGTCAAATTATTAATATCATTATCCAATTATAGATTCTTGCACTAGATAGACTTTATCCTGTCCAGACTATGATTAAGACATTTTTGATTTGCGTGATACCAGGTTCTGAACGTTTTGTACCATGCACTATTTAAATACACAGTAAATACACAAGCTAAATGTCGATGCAAACATTTATGAGAAGCTCAGTGAGACGCACTCGTGGAAAGCTAATGAAAAATGACTTTTTTTAACAAACAAAAATAAAATCTGGTTGGTTTGAAGGGAACTCAAATGTTCATTTGATTAGTATTTGTTCTAATATGGATTTAATAAAGCATATTAGTTATATTTTGATTAAACCAGGGTACATTTAATCACAAGTGCGCACCGAGTGGTAGAAATGAGGAAGATCATCTCGACCTTCAGAGGAAGCATATCGCTCATTGTCCAAGGATAGCTAACGTGCATGTTGACGTGACTTAACAGTATTTTGGAGTTTGACCAATCAGAGAACACGGAATCAATGAACGTGTAATAAAAGAAAGATCCCTTAAATATTCAAGCAAAACAATACATTTTAGAGAAATGCTAAAATAAAACTTTATGATCTCAAAACCAAGTTGATGTTCTACTTCATCCGCTCGAGTAGCTGTCCTCCATGGCTCACATTCTTTGAATTAGGATCTGCAGTGGTCGGTATTAACCAAGGATATCGTCTCGGTTTCCAGCAGATAAGTTTGTTTTGGAGACTCGAAATCCGCAGCTGTGGCTTTTATCAGCAAAGTCACAAGAAACGAGAAACAAGTTTTACCTTGTGAGAGACTCAGTCTGTTCTGACTCATGTTGCACCTTTTTTTACATCGGTTTCTGAGACTGCACTGTTTGCCCTTGACTTTGAATAGTTTATTCCCCAGGCAGAGAGGCAACAGGCGACTGAAATGGCTGAATGGGATCTGCTTGGCCGCCTGCTGGACAAAGTACAGAGCCACTCCACGGTGATTGGGAAGGTCTGGCTCACCATGCTCTTTGTTTTCCGCATCCTGGTCCTGCGCACCGGCGCTGAGGAGGTCTGGTAATACAGTAAATGTACTTATTTAAGCACCAGGGGGCACAGAAGTGGCTAAAAGACATAATTGGTGAATTGAGAATGTCACAAAGCCATCCACCTTCATCTCTCTGAAGATCTGCGTCACATCCTCTGTCACCTCCTTCCTCAGGTGTGGGGCGACGAGCAGTCCGACTTTGTGTGCAACACCGATCAGCCCGGCTGTGAGAACGTCTGCTACGACCGAGCCTTCCCCATCTCGCATGTTCGCTTCTGGGCTCTTCAGATTATTGCTGTGGCGACTCCGAAGCTGCTCTACCTCGGTCATGTCCTTCATGTGCTCCACATTGAGAAGAAGGTAGTATTTGACAGCAAATACTAGGTTGTAGAACTGGCTCAGCACATGCTTGAATATCAACACTGAATGAAATAAACGTGTTTTGTTGCTTTTCGCCAACTCAGCAGCTCAACTTAGGTTTCAACTTATGTTCGGCCTCTATCTTGGTTTTGGTGTATGGTTGAATGTAAGTGAGTCGTGATAAACCCACCTGTGATACCTGCCTGCCCAGAGACAACTGATTCACTCGTAGGGTTAGGGAGCAGATATTCTAGCAGGAGGTCATGGAAACCAAGTGATGACGTAGAATAAGGGTTTGGACATGTTTCAATAAACTGTTTGGAACAAAGTGGGTCTATCCCCAATTACTTTCTCTTGTCTTTCACCAGCTTATTGTGAAATGTCTAACTCTGTCTTCTTGTTCTTTCAACCTGAGGTGAAAGAGAGGATGAAGAAGCAGGCAGAGTTGGACAACCAAGTCAGTCTGTTCCTCAGTAAGTCCTACAAAGTTCCCAAGTACACAAAGAGCACTGGCAAGATCAGCATCCGCGGCCGCCTCCTTCGCAGCTATGTCCTCCATCTTGTGGCCAAGATAATCCTGGAGATTCTGTTTATCGTGGGTCAGTTCTATCTTTACGGTTTCACCCTCGAGGCGCGCTACATCTGCGCCACTGACCCCTGCCCCCACAAGGTGGACTGCTTCCTCTCCAGGCCTACGGAGAAATCGGTCATCATCTGGTTCATGTTGGTGACGACGGTGGTCTCCCTCGTCCTCTGCCTGGTGGAGCTGCTCTACCTGTGCGTGAAAGCTGTGAAGGAGTGCATGGCGAGGAGGCAGGACTACACCGTGACCCCGGTGACGCCTCCACTCTCGGGGAGGAAAACGTTTAAAAGCCAGGACGAGGCCATCCAGAATTGTGTCAACCTGGAGCTGGAGCTGCAGGGACAAATGGTGGGCGTGAACGGGGTCAAAGGAGGGGGGAGCAAGGTTGTGAAGACCGTACCATCTGAGAATGATATGGGGGAGGTCCACATCTGAAGCATGGAGGGGGTGGTGGGTTGCCGTATCTGTGTGTTGGGCTGTAGAGAGGTCAGGGGGCGTATGTGTGTGCGCAGTAAATAAAGGTTGAGGGGAAGTTGCCAGCTTCTGTAAACAGATCTCAGTCACATGCAGAATGTTGTTGAAAATAACTTCAAGAGACTTTTGTGACAGAATACAAAAGCACAAAGAGCATCATTTTAAAATTCTGCAGATCAGATGTTTGATTTTTGAGACAATGTGATGTCTTATTTTTTATTCAATAAACATGTCATATTCACAATCTGATTAAAATGCTGTTGTCTTTTTCTTATCGTGTTCATATTGATAATATGCCCTGTCCACTAACATGGAGGAGACAGGTGTGTTTCTCTGGGCAGCAGTTTTACAAAAAAAGTTGCAGTTTTATAGATTATTCAAAAGTGTAATAAAAGATAAGTGTGAAAAAGTGAGTTGAAATGATTTTAAATGATGAAAACACAGTGTGGTTTCATAGTAGAGGTAGAGTTGTGTAGTCTTATGGCTTGTTTAAAGTCCAGAACTGGATCTTGGCCCCTGTAGAGATACTACACCTATCAATTATTACAGACTTGTTCTGGTGTTTCATCAACTTTCTCCGCTCTCGTTTGCTGACAGGTACAACGTGACATAAAAGCCAAATGCTTGCACAATATGATTCCTCCCGCTGTCCTCACCCAGCGCAAAACTCCAAGGTCTAGTGTCAGTTGGTGATTTGTGCCGACCAGAGACAGTCCCCTCTGACCAGTTCAGCAGGTAAGATCAGCACCTTCTGTTCTCTGAGCATTTGAAGAATTACTGACAAATGTTTGTAAAGAATTTACAGAATTAAAATATCCAGTGAAAATATTGATTTCTTTTAGACATTTGTAGACGAAAACCACCGGTTGTTAATTTCCACATGTTGGTTTACATTCTCGTTTTTTTGTTTGAATGCTCTATTGTTTCATTCTCTGATCTTATTTGAGTCATAAAATGTTTTAATCCAGTTTTCATATAAGTGCATTTTGAAAAGTAATAATGTTCTGATTATAATGATAATATTTCTGCATGCTCCAAACATGGCTTTCTCTTGATCATTATATTGTAAATTATTTCTATTTTTTTGTAGAAAATAAATTTAAGCTTTATCTATCTATTTTATTCTACTTCTATTCCTCATCAGTAGATTATTAAACCACTGATCTTTCCTCTCTTCCCTTCATTTTTCTAATTAATGATTTCTTTGGACACTGACCAGTTAAGTTGAAAATTCAGGAGGCTCAAAGTCTTCTTCCTTCTCACGTCCCCCTGCCCAAGACCTGAAAAATGATTCATCTAAGTCAAACAGAACAATGAGCCCTTCTTTCCGCAGCAAAGCTGGAACCAAAATTTTGATTTTATTTTTAATGAGCTGAGTATTTACAGTATTTTCCTTCTTTTCATTGCAGATCAGTATCCGAACATCACGTTTAAAGATGGGAGACTGGGGATTCCTTTCAACTTTGCTGGACAAGGTCCAGTCCCACTCCACTGTCATCGGGAAGATCTGGATGAGCGTCCTCTTCCTCTTTAGGATCATGGTTTTGGGCGCAGGTGCCGAGAGCGTCTGGGGCGACGAGCAGTCGGGTTTCATCTGCAACACTCAACAACCTGGTTGTGAGAACGTCTGCTACGACTGGGTCTTCCCCATCTCGCACATTCGCTTCTGGGTCCTCCAGATCATCTTCGTCTCCACGCCGACGCTGGTCTACCTGGCCCACGCTTTGCATGTCATCCACAAGGAGAATAAGATGAGGGAGCGGAAGCAGAAGCAGAAGCAGAGCCCTGGTGGGGCCATGAAGGGCAAAGAGCCCAAATACACAGACGAGAAGGGAAAGGTGACGATCAAGGGAAACCTGCTGGGGAGCTACCTGACACAGCTCGTGTTTAAGATCATCATTGAAGCTGCCTTCATCACGGGCCAGTACTACCTGTACGGCTTCATCATGGTCCCCATGTTCCCCTGCTCGAAGAAGCCCTGTCCCTTCACCGTGGAGTGCTACATGTCTCGACCCACAGAGAAGACCATCTTCATCATCTTCATGCTGGCAGTGGCCTGCGTCTCTCTGCTCCTCAACATCATTGAGGTGTTCTACCTGATTTGTTCCAGGCTCAGACGGAGGTCCAGGCGGGGAGCACGGTACTTAAATTCGTCGGAGAACCCTGCCAGCCTGCCCGACTCCAGGCAGAAGATGACGGAGGAAGCGATCAAGCAGAACAAGCTGAACATGGGGCTGGAGAACAGCCACAGTATCGGAGGAGGCCTGGACGGGGCCAAAGAGGAGAAACAACTACTGAACACTCACTGAAACACATGTATTGTCTTGTTTCACAATTCTCCCAATAGTTCAAATACATGTAAGAAACAGTTTTAAAGCTCTGTGGTGACAGAAATTATGAAATAAAAACTGTTTTGTTGTATTATGATTAATGCTGAGATGATATTTCAAGGCCACATTGTTGGAATTTATTTTTTTAATGGAAATCGAATGATGAAAAATGTGCAATACTGATAATTATTTATTGTCTGTACCCAGTTATTGAATGTGTCCTTTATTAAGTTATTGTCATGTTCATTATCTAGGACTTGAAATATTTTGCTAACTGAATGATGATGATCACAGTGAAGAAACTCTGTCTACTGATATCATTTTTGTATGTTTTCTGAATTTTTAATAAATGGTTAAAGTTGGATACGAATTGTGTTTCATTAAATCATTAATTTCAGATGAGAGGTTCACACTTTTCAAACTACTTAGATCCACATATTTAATCCAATAGTGCTGCAACTGACGAGTGTGTTCGTTATTGATGAATCTAATAATTATTCTCAGGATTGAACTATTAAAATAAACAACATATAATGACAACACAGTGGATAATATCAGGCACAGCGCCCCAAAATCATATTACAAAAAAATTTGATGTATAAGTCAATATATTGAGTTTACTATATTAAAAGAGGCAGAAAAACTGTCAATATTCACATTTTAGAGGTTGAAACCAAAGATTTTGCAATTTTTGCTTTATAAATACTTATCTACTTCATTATACAAATACATGAATAAATATTACAAGGACTTTCTCAAATTCAAGTCATACAAAAGCATATTTGTGAAGTCAACAATATGAGATTTCCTCCGTTTGTTGAGATCTTATAAATCTCTCTGTATAAAGGAAACGAAACATTTATGTTGACACCACAAAAAAATGAACGTTTCGGTCACGTAGTATTTGACAGCAGGTTTACTGCACTACAGTGGATTAGTGTGAACAAGTACAGAATGTCCACGTGTCCTCTGAGTCCCTGACTCTTATTTGATTTATTCACTGGCTGTGTGATAGAAATGGACAATGAGACATGAAGCAACTGTGGATTAAAAGCTGCCAATCATTAACCTGTACAATCTTTTTAGAGCTCAGCCCAAAATCGTCTACTCGAGATTTATCATCTCACAAATGTCATGACAACGTGACGGCCTGTTGCACAACAACGTCCAATCTAAAGTTCAAGGTATCACAAACAGATCTGGTTTGGTTCAGAAGGCTCTCTGTCATTCGGCTCCACAGGTGGTGAAGAGTCTGTTTGTCTGGAGGAAAACTTGAGAGTTTAAAAGGTAAGATGTACAGTTACTTTAATATTTGACATTTTGAGATGGAAATTTAACTAATTCAAGCATGAATTTCATGCTGTAATTTTCATTTGATCAAATTATATCGAAATGATCTCATCCTCGCTGATATATTAAAGAAGAATATTAGTATTTGTTATTACCATGAGTATGTTTTGTGCCTCAGTAGAGTTTTTTTTAAGCGTGTGTGTGAGCAAAACCAGAGTTTAGAGGAATTTAATCTTTCAGATTGAAGCACTGTCCATAATCTGTCCGGCTGAGAATATACATTATCAGAGTATTTGTAAAATCCTATAAAGCAATGATACGTAGTTAAGATACTCACACACTTCAGTGATACATTTTAGTTATGTCACAGATTCTATAACTTCTTCTTCAAGCTCTGATTTTACAACACGTCCAGAACAACAAGACGCTCTGCTGTTTTTAATAATGTTCTGCTATTCAAGTTAATTAATCATCGTGTATTACAGCACCTGGAACTATTCATTATTTTAAAAAGAGAAAGATTTAACCTGTTGTTTTTTTCATTATTTTTATTTTTTCCTCTGCAGTAACATCATGGTCATTTCAAATAAGAATAGCTACTGATGAATTAAAGAAAACATACATGTACTGCATGATAAAAGATTCATTACATTTTAATAAGAATTTTACTTTGTTTGTTTCCACTTAATTCATCAACAGTTTTTTCCCGTTGTCTTTCAGGGACCATGGGAGAGTGGGGTTTTCTGTCGTCTTTGCTGGACAAGGTCCAGTCTCACTCCACCGTCATCGGGAAGGTCTGGCTCAGTGTGCTCTTCATCTTCAGGATCATGATCCTCGGAGCTGGAGCAGACAAGGTCTGCGTCTGTGTGTTCGTAGTTTAGACGTTTGTAGCTTTGGTGCAGGAGTTTTAGAGGAAATAACACCCTCTAGTGGCCATAATGAAAGGGTTGGATGGTGCTTCGTTCAACTTGACATCAAATCATCAGGTTTTAATTTGTGACAAACATGTAATAAAAGTCATTTCTGTGAACGTTACAGGTTTGGAGCGATGAACAGTCAAGCATGATTTGCAACACCAAACAGCCTGGTTGTAAGAACGTCTGCTATGACCACGCCTTCCCGATCTCGCACATTCGATTCTGGGTCCTCCAGATTGTCTTCGTCTCGGCGCCAACGCTCATCTACCTCGGCCATGTGATCCACGTCATCCACCAAGAAAACAAGCTGAGAGAATATAACGAGAAGCATTCGGACAAAGTCGTCAAACAGCCCAAGTACTCTGACAAAGAAGGCCACATCAAAATCAAAGGCAACCTTCTGGGGACCTACATGACCTCCATATTTTTCAGAATCATCCTGGAGGTGGCGTTCATCGTGGGGCAGTATTATCTGTACGGCTTCATCATGGACCCGAGGGTCGTCTGCTCCCGAGCTCCGTGTCCCTTCACCGTTGAGTGCTACATGTCGCGGCCCACCGAGAAGACCATCTTCATCATCTTCATGCTGGTGGTGTCCTGTGTCTCTCTGGCGTTCAACGTGGCAGAGATCTTCTACCTGGCGTTTGCTCGCTCGTCCCGGCGAAAGTCGAAAACTGTCCCAGCTTCTGCCATCGCAATTCAACCCAGTTTCAACAGAGAAAGTCTGATGAAGAACGATTACACCACAGCCTGACGAACATAGACCCAGAGTGCAAATTTAAATCTGTTGTCTAACAAACAGGAGCGTGAATAAAAATGTGTCTCATAGGGCTAATCACAGCAGACCGTGGGCTGCAAGATCACTGTTATTTATTTATTCGAGGCTTTAAAAGTTCCTGAAAATGAAATTGTGGGACATATATGTAGAATGCAACATATGACACTGTGTCATGGTGCCATGTATTGTTTGTAATTTGAGTTTTTGTGTCTTTACATCGTGTCGTGTGTGATCGTTTGACCTGTGACTACATGACACTGAATGTCAGAGGGACCTGACCATCACTGCACAAACCTTCGTCTCTGTGCAAATTCACATTTTTACATCACCGCCAGCTGTGTTCTTAACAAATGTGTAGAGGGGCCTAAAAGTGCTTATTTTTCAGTACGAATGTTTTGTTTCTCCTAAATTGTTAAATTTTTCAGGGATTATTTTTGAAATTGTAGATATTTTTACATGTTTCGTATTTTAATATGACTGCACGCACCTTGTGTTTGTAACTGATTGTAAATTTGATGAATTCATTAAAGTCACTTTGGTGAAAATTGGTGATACTACTGCTCCACATTTACACAGAGAAATCTGGAGTAGGTTATCAGTCGTGTTCAATTATTTGTCCACTCACACACAGTCCTGTTTTTATGTTTGTAAAAAAGAAAAGAAAAAACACATCTGTACACATCTGAATGCTAACTTTAGCATCGAGGTAGAGCGCTGATAGAGCAGCTGATAGAGCAAAACAACATGGAAGAGAAAAGAATTAACAAAAAGTTTGAAATTCTCTCGTTATCCGATGCTAACTTTAGCATCGAGGTGTGATGGCAAAAATATTTAGTTGTTTTTCTTTTTCATCAGCATCGAACACATATTAATTAAACTTCGGAGCAGGAGAAACTAAATATTGTATTTTATATTATATTGTAAATTATAGTAATCACAGTATAGTAACTGGTAGCTGACCACAGGGTGGCGCCGTTTACACGCGGCTCGAACAGACCCCGCCCGCGCCCCGCCTCTAACGTCGTGACCGTCCCCGCCCCCTTCTCCTCACAACAACAGCTGGGAGCAGCCAAAGATGGCGACCGTCGCGGGGTTCGAGGGCCACAGGGCGGAGGAGAAGAAGTTCGAGTACTTCTCCTCCATCAACTCCATGGCGAGGAAGATCATGCAGGAGCGCGAGAAGATCAAGTCCAAGCACGGGTCCTCCTGGGACAAGATGTCGCCGCAGGAGCAGGACTGCGCCATCGACAACTGGATGATGGACCCGCACATCCGAGCCCGGTACGCGATGCACAGGGTGGAGCGAGAGGAGGTGGCGTGTTACCCCAAACTGCTGCTGCACACCGGGCAGAAGATCGTGCACTTCGGGGAGGAGGTATTTTACACCGCGACGTCTCGGGCTCCGGGAAGGGTTCGAGGTCCCGATAGCCTGGTTAGCTTCGATGCTAACTAGCCACGTAACCATTAAAATATGATGGCTAACGTCAGAGTGACGTCATCGACCTACGTACACTGTGATTTGAATGGATCGACGGATGAATGGATGGATGGATGGATGGATGGATGGATGAGAGGCTCATAGAAGAATGTTGATCTTATAGAAAACATCAGAGTTTGTTGAGTTGTGCCATCGCACAGTAAATAAAGTGCTCTTATTTTGAAAAATATGAGTACAACACAGTGTGTGTGTGTGTGCACGCATATAAGTGTGTATATATATGTATGAATATATTTTTACTATATTTTAATGAGATTTTGTGTGTATTATACGTTAATGTGTGTGTGTGTGTGTGTGTGTTTACACCTCTGTTCAAGATAACCTGTGTTACTTGCTTCATCTGTGAGTCATAATGTTTCAGCTCATTGTTGTGTAATTATCTTGTTATTATTCTCACTAGGGTTTTAGGTTTTCCTTGTTTATTTTAGTACAGTGTGTAACTCCAGTGTGTGTGTGTGTGTGTGTGTGTTCAGGACATCACCTGGCAGGATGAACATTCAGCTCCATTCTCATGGGAAACAAAGGTAAAACAATATATGTATTCACAAGTTTGACAAAAGTAATTTCAGACAGAAGTCTGACACGTTCCATGGTGCTCAGATGTTCTCTTTTTCTGATCTCGTGTTATCTTGAATTATATAACCACAGGTTATTTTTTTTATAGTCAGATGCTGTTACATAATTTACATCCCACGTTTTTCAGAGTCAGCTGGAGTTCACCCTGACACCAGGCTCTGCAGACCAGGGAATCTCTGTCTCGCAGGTGGAATCAAAGTCCGCAAAGGCTCCTCATTCCAGCCAGCTTGGACCCAAGGTACGATGAGCACTCATGGGGTCAGAGGTTACTGTAGTTTACAGTTTGGTTTGTATACTAATACTCACATATTATATGTTAGTGGAGATTTTTACACATTTCCAGAAAGACATTAAACTATTTCACTTAAATCTAAAACAGACTTTACAGAGAGGGCCATGGTATTGAACATTTTTTTTGTGAATGTAGTTTTTAAATACTCAGGGCAGTTTAATAGAATGAGTTGTGTGATTGTGAAGGTGACTGTCAGCGAGGGACGGAGGCCAGAGGAGGAGTCGTCTTTCTGGAAGATCAGCGCTGAGAGGTCCAGGCTGGAGGGAGAGCAGGCGGACTTCCAGTCCCTGACCCCCAGCCAGATCAAGTCCATTGAGAAAGGAGAGAAGCCCCTCCCCTCCTACCTCCGACAGGTAAGAGTTGAAGTCTAGTTTGCTCTTTTTTTTATACTTTTTCATTGTTCCTGGAATTTTTTGAAAAACCCCTTTGAGCTACTAGAGGATTTTTATAACTGAAAAATTCTCCAGCAGTAAACACAACCATGCCTCCACAGGAAACCTCGGTCACCCCCAGGGAGCCTGAGGCAGCAGAGTCCCACCCTCCAGCTCCAACCAGACCCACAAAGCAAAGAGCGCCCAAGCCCCCCGCTCCCCAGCCCCCTGCCCCCGTCACTGTCAGCGCAACGCCGGCATCCATCTCCATCTCGTCGAACCCCGCCCCGCCTCTCAGCGTGTCCTCGACCGTGGCGGGATGGGAGCGATCTCAGAGCACCCTGCCATCGGTGAGCAACACCCTGGATGAGATGTTTTCCTCAAACCTCATGTCAAAGCCTGCCAACATCCCCACCCGTGTGGAGAAGGAGAAAGAAATAGAAGCTTCACCCAACGTGGACACCAGCCCCACGTTTTCTCAGGTATTGCTGAAGTTTCAGAGGAACATGAGTTACTAAGCATTTGCTTTGCATGTAGTAAGAAAAATCTGTGTATCGACGGTTTCTAATGGGGAATCACAAGACACTCTACTCTTCAGCCTCTGACAGTGTTTAACACAAGTCTCTCTCTCTGTCTCTCCCAAACTTGTTTCTTGTTCCTTCTGCGCAGTTCAACACAAGCAACAACCTCCTGAAGACCGGATTCGACTTCCTAGACAACTGGTAAACCACAGCCGAGCACATCCACCGCTCTGAATGAATCATCGTCATCATCACTCTAAAGAAAGGACCACACTGCCATGACTACAGACATCCACATCTAGATTTAAAACACACCCGTCTTTAAAGTCGACCACATTATGTTCTAGTAATCATCTCCAGTGGCTTGTTAAGACATTATCTCACTGCCTGTGCGCTGGTGTTTTTTTTCCCCTTCCACTCGAAGAGCTCCCTCTCCTCTCTGACAAGGTTTGCATCTTTTGCCAAACATGGAATGTAGAGTTCGCAGGGATTGAACCTCACAGAATGTGGACGCTGTGTGTCACTGTGCATTCACACTGCGACCAACTCTATGCTCCCGATTCCACTTCATGCATATTGGAGAATTCAAGAAGGATCTTTGATCAAATCACTTCCCAGATGTTGAAAATCGAACCAAAAAAACCCCAAAATGCTCAAGATCAGAAGTTATTGTTTAAGATTATTTATTTAGCTTGTTTGAGACAACCAGCGTTTACAAAAAGTGCTGAAGAGGCTTCAAATGAAAGAATACAGTAAATATATTTACAGAATGGAGGAGGCTGGACTGGAAAAATCCAAACTTTTACAGTTTAAATACCAGAGTTTCTATTAAAATATCTAATTTCATATCTGGGTTTTATCTTGACATGAGAACTTTTCTCTGCTAAAGTTTTGCTTTTCATAATTGAGCAAGGTTTTATTAGCTTGTCCAGCTGCTAGCCAAAATTATAAACAACTAAAAATATCAGGAAACCGTCAATAACATCACTAACACCCCCCCCCCACCCCCCGCCCACTGAATGTGTCCTCTTTGCCGTACTGTAATCTTTTAATTAAAAGTTTTAGAAAAGGGAAACTTAACTTTTCTGTTAAAACCCACTAACCCATTGTACACTTGCTGTTAATAGCTGTTGTCCCTGACTCCTGACTGTCAGAGGGACAGTGTGGAGATGCAGTTTCTTTAATAAGTCGTTCCTCACGTTGCTCGCCGTGTGGATGCACAGTAACGGTGTCACCCAGCCTCCTTCTCGTCCCGCAACTTATAGACGCTAATCTGGGAAGCGAGAACAATTTTGTATGGAAACATCGATCCGTCTGCAAACTGTTTTTTATTTTTTGTTGTGCTGGTTTTTGCTCTCTGATGTGCTTTTATTTATACCTATATATTCCTATAAACCTTTAGAGTTATAGAGTTTAGTAGTGCTCGGTGCTGCAGTCCTGACCCACTTAGTGCAATTACTACACATCCACACAGGTCGTGGGATTCCTGGAATAGTGCGCAAGCTTGGAAGAGGTTGTTGGGATGGAGAAAATCATTGAATCTTCACCGTCCCATAACAGAAATATCGTGGAGTGAATTTCCATTTTCACACATTTGATGGAAACCAGGTGGTTGCTCTCTTTGGCATTAAGCAAACAGAAAGAGGAGGGAAGAACAGCCATGGAAGTGCTCGAACTTTTGTCACGGAAAACCCCTGGACTGTGTGTCCTGGCTGCCATGGGAACCTATTCCAAATGTCCTGTATGGAGTTAACTCCTTGACAACGCTTCCTCACCACCTCACCCCTCCCTGCTTTCACCCCTGACCTCAATCGAGTGCCGAGCAAAGCTAGCGAGCGCCGACGTACTAAAATCACACGCGCTCACAGTGTGTGTTGAGGTAAACGGGCATGGCGTGTAGTGATTTGTGACATAGTTTTCACGACTAGAGTACTATTTTAATGAATTTTATATTTATCCGCTGATCTTCTGCTACACATGTATATTGCACTCATGCATTTTGAAGTCACAGATCAGAAAGAAGTAAATAAACGAAAGTCAAACTTGCATCTTGTATTTGTCTTCTTTTTTTTTTTTTTTTTTTAAGGTTTTTCTCACGGAAAGAGAGATAATGACGTAACTACTGGTCAGTAAATTCATATTATGAGAATTGAAAGAAGCTAAAAGTTGCACCGTGAACACAAAGATTTAGTTTGAGCTTGGTCAACGTTCTGTGGGATTGTTTTTCGCCTGCTCGTTTGGATTCTTGTTGACCTCCCTCTCAGCTCCATGACATCAATTCCTCCAGCTGTAATTTCTACCAGATCCAAAATGCCATTCAGGAGAGGAGGGAGTGAAGAATGTCCGGTGCTCGGAGGAAACTTTGTGCTGTTCACTTAAATACCACGTCGGCCCAGTGGAGAATCATCAGTCTCCCTCGGGGGCCAAGCAGCTGCCCTGCATTTTGTATTTAAGGAAGCATTTAAGGATTCAAGTGTTGAATAGGTATTATATGTTGTTAGGCTGCTTGAGTTGGACCCACACACGAAGCAGGAGATTCTGTTTTTATCGAACATAAGTGACATCAACAAGAAACCAGCCCAGAAAATGACGTTGTGCATATTTCAAACAAGCATTTTTCTTTATCTATAAAACTACAGACACGAACTGAAGCTTATAAAGATTGAAATATTATCTATGATCATCTGGGAGAGATGATGTCATCGCAACATCATTATGAAATGGCGTTAATAACGTTAAAAAAAAAGTGAGTCAAAAGTCAAATCTTTAAACTGAGGGAAAGTGAATTTATGAGTAAGTTACGCAAATGATCACATTTATCGCAGCTCTCTCAAGAGGCACAGACACGTTAGTACAACTGACTGTATATTGTAGTAATACTTCCCAAAACAAGACGTGTAAACTATGCTTCAGAGTAATAAATATCTTATACAAGTCATCATCAACAGCTTATGTTTACAACACATTATTCATGAGTTCAGGCTTGTGTGTGTTTGTGTTCATCATCCCTCACACTGAACTGAGGCACCTCTGTCCCGTGCAGCTCCGCCCTGCGCCTCCAGACCCTGAATGGCTGCTCTGTGTTCCCTCTGCAACGTTTTTTAATAAACGCTCGGCTGAATGAAAGTCACCGCAAGGCATCGAGCTCACAAACGGAACAGTGGCTTTAGACTCAACTGTTACAGATGGAAAAAAAAGCGGAATTCAATTCAATCTTATTTTATTTGTAAAGCGGCGAATCACATGTTATTACAGGGAACTTTACATCAGGTTGACACTACAGATATACTTAGAGCACATGTGGAAGTATAAAAATGGAATAAAATAATCTAAAATTTAAATAAAATACAGAGAAGACGTTCATAATGTACAGAATATTCTTCACAGAGAAACGTACTGAGTGAAGTATTGACATGTCATTTCAGCTCCAGCTGAATTCACTAGTTTTGAAGGGTGACAACTTTCCTCCAGACCCTCGTTTGGATCCAAGCTGACGTCTGGAGCAGGTCTGACGTGTTTGGACTCTGTCGTGTTCTGGAGCAGCTGAGTATTCGCTCGGCTCCGTCCCGCAGACTCCAGCACATCTGTCCCTCAGAGCATTCCCAGCCGGAGCTCCTCCCAGCGTCCACATGCCTGAGCCTCAGTCTCTTCCCCTGGAAATTCTGCAGAATTCTTGTGGCACTTTAACTGGCATACCTCCCACACACACACACACACACACACACGAAGAGATAAAGACCCTATCATGTGTGTGTGTGTGTTTACTGTGCGTACAGGGCTCAACTGTACTGAGCTGAGTTTAAATAAAACATTAAATAATTAATAGTGATAATTAAATCAAATAGAACATCGTTTCATTCTGGATCTCTGAAATATGAAGTTTAACAAATGGAAAACTCATAAGCACAAAAACACTAATCCCACACTTGTGGGTTTTGTAAGAAACTGATTCTATATTCAAATGTTGTCGTCACTTGTGGCCACAGCGTCTGTTTTTCAGTAAAAGTCCCGTCGTCTCATCTTGAGCCAACGCAGACAAGAAAAGTGCCGTTTAACTACAAATAACCTCTGGTGTATTAATAAGGAACTTGAGGAAGTGCGGTTTTGACTCAGACGTTTTACAGAGATGATCGACAGACTCCATTTACTCGACCGTTACCATGGTGACTGTGTTTTAACAGCTGCTGGGCTTGCACCTCGGCAGAAACTGTACATTTCAGTGATCCACTAATGAATCCAAGACAGTGAGCAGATGTGGAGTCGGTAAAGTTTTGTGAAACTGATTCAAGAAAACATTTAAATATTTATGGGGTCGATGACAAAAGCTGAAGCATGAAGTGTCACAAAGCTGAGAAACTGAAGCGGTGTTATTCTAAGGAGACTCACAGACAAATAAAATCCTCCACACATGTCCTAGTTTTACGTTGTCCCCTGAACAGCTGATGGTCTGGAGACACATTGGTTCCCACGGGACACAGACCTGAGATGTTTCCCCCCCTCCTCCTGAGTAAATCTGCAGAGCCCACACAGAGAGGAAACTGGAGGTGGGAGCAGAAACAAAGAGCTTTCCTGTTGTTTAGAGAGAGAAGACGAGAAAAGTCTGTTATCAGGCCGAGAGGAGAGAGGCTCATTCTGATTTGTATATTGTTTCATTCACATTTCTAATGGGAGATCCTGCTGCTCTCCTGCTCTGAGGATCACATCTCTGAGGGACGCTCGCGGGGAAAGAGGGGTGAAAGAGAGAGAGACAGGGAGGGAGGGAGGGAGGGAGGGAGGGGGAGAGAGAGAGAGAGAGGAGGTGCAGAGGGAGTTTTCACTGCTGAGGGAAAGAGCAGAGTTATTAGGAAGCAGAAAATGGGACCAGCCGCCACCTCGCTCGCTCTCCTGTGTTTCTGCTCTCTGGGTGTGTGTGTTCCCACGGGGACGGTCGACGCTGCAGCGACTCAGGTCAGGACCGTTCAACTCTTTTCACCCAAAAATCTTTTCATTGTTGTGGATGTTGTGCGCTGCATTTTTCCCAAACCATGACGGAGCAGACCTGTTTGTTTGGATAAGACTGAACCCATTCATAGAGCTGAGGTCGTTCACTTATGAACACAGTTTGTACGAGAGACTTAACAAATAAATAAAGAATTTATCTAGAGATGGGAATGTGGTGACTAAATGATTTGTATGTAATTTATGCCGAATGCTGCAACAAATCTGACTCAGGAAAATACATGAATTTTGAAGTTATAATAAATTAAATCAAATTAAAACATTTTAAGCTTGAAAAAACGAACTTAAAATCCATGAAACCTGCTTCGACACATTTATACAGCGCTGGGTTATCTATGGTGATGATGTCATGGATGTGGACACACACCAGACATGTGGAGAATAATAATGATTCAGTGTTTTATTGATGAAGATACTTAACGATGATGATAGTAAATGACGAGAATGGATTTAAACATCTTACGTTTGTTTTGGCTTCAAACATATTTAACAGGTTTAACTGTCGACGGTAAAACACACGAGGTGAAAAGCTGATTTCCTTTTTTAAAGCCTTTAACGTGTCACTGGTGTAAATCAATTATTGGAACATGTGGGCTTGTGCTACTGTGTCTCGATGTCTGAGCTGTGGAAAACGCCTGGAGTATTTCTCCTTAGAAAAACAGTGAGCAGACGGATCTTTGACTCAGGAGACGCAGGATAAAAACTAATCCGGTAAACTGAGATTAGATTAATCATTTAAAAAACCATTTCATCACCAAGAACCTAGAGCAGAGTCCCAGATGTTTGCAGCTGTATGAGAATATATCCTCAAGAGTAGCTTGCTCTTAAACTTGCTAAACTCCAGACATTGACCTAGGATGATGACAGACTTTAGATTTTTAGAAAGAACTGGTTTGTTTTGAGAGTCCAAAACTTTTCGGTGTGTGTGTGTGTGTGTGTGTTAAGGCGTCTCTGCCAGAGGTGAGGATGGCGAGAGGAGACATCCCCGACGTCATTCCAGAGCCTGAACCAGAACCAACGAGTCCAGTGTCAGACTTTGAAAACTCATACAACTACGTCCGTACGTCATTTTACACATTTGCAGATCACGTTGGTGTCGATCAGAACAGACAGATGTTTGGATCAGACTCCACAGAAGCATTATAACACATCTGCCTTATCCCTCAGTATCCAGACTGGCCGGGATGGACCAGGCCATCCACAAGCTGAACGTTGGCCACTACACGCTGGATGTGAAAGTCAGTCAGCTGATGGACCGTCTGTCCAGGATGGACGGTGAGACGCTCACTTACTGCTGATCACATTTAAATTTCTCCTCTCCTCATGGACTCTTTCCATTTTAAACAAATTATATTTCTACAGCACGTTCACAACAATCAGCATCTTTTAAATGGACGAATTAAAAGTCACTGTGGCGCCCCCTTGAGCCATAAGGTGGAAAATAAGTTGTGATTTGCGTTGACACGGATATTGTGCAGGATTGAGGAATCTACAATAGACCTTTATTTTAATTTAAGACTCACGATCACGTAATAAAGTCTCCTCCTTTATGTTGTCACCTCATCGTCACCATGGCAGCTAAAGTCGGGGAGCTGGAGGACAACATCCGGGAGGTTCATCAGCACAGCAAGGACAACCGCAAGGAGGTCGGAAGACTGGAAGGTACACCCGGATGATTTTATGTCCTCACACCTCATGAAAAAGAATTATATGGTTTTAGACTGAAACTGAAACTGAGGAGGAACCCTGAGATCATCGATCGTAAAGTAAAAACCAAACGTGGATGTGGAGCATTACCTCATGGAGCATTATTGTTCAGTATCATCCAAATACATACGATGGTTACGTAAGAAGTTCAGAGGAAATCTGGGTCTCATCAGTTTGTTATGATGTGACTCATGTCTGACCAACGAAAGGAAAACATGAAATGGCTCCGATCTGCTGATCCTCCAGATATTCATGGCTGCGAGAGATAAAGTTTCCAAACAGTTGTGAAACTCGAAACTTAAAGCTTCACTGACAAATATTTGTGTACAAACTATAAGAAATAACTTTTTTTTAGTGTCTTTCAGCACATTGTTTCGGTTTTAAGGCTCTTTCTTGTTTATTTCCCTCTCATCGAGTTTATCAGCAGCGGGGCGTTTAGAGAAATATAGTTGGCAGCTAGCGAGTTCTTAGATACGAAGACAAAACTAGAAATGGGGCAATAAAGTGTCCGACTTGTTTTCCTCTGCTTCTCAGGTTGTCAGAAGGGACGCAGGATGGGATACAAGTGTTATCTGGTGTACAACAGCTTCGAGGATTATTCCGGAGCTTCCAAAAAGTGTCTGGAGCGTGGCGGCCGCATGGCGATGCCGCGCGACCGCAAGGAGCAGGAGGCCCTGGCCGATTACGTGAAATCCTTCTTCCACCCGGGCAACTGGCCCGTGTGGCTGGGCATCAACGACCTGCGGTCCGATGGCATGTACCTTTTCGACGACGGGACGCGGGTCTCGTACTTCCAGTGGCGCAAGCACTTCCTGTCCAGTCAGCCGGACGGCGGGAGGCGGGAGAACTGCGTGGCCATGTCGTCCGACGACGGCGACTGGTGGGACCACTACTGCGACCGGACCATGAACTACGTGTGCGAGTTCGACGACAGGGTGGCACTTTAAGATGAACTCTGACCTTCAGCTCGTCTTCGTTTTAAATGTATATTTGCAGAGAATTCAAAAGACACTTTAAACACACGTGGGATCGGTTGAACGTCTCCATTGGACATAGTGTGCTTTAGTATTAACAGCCAGTATAATTCCAGTGTGATATACAGTTTGTGTAGTTTAGTGTGAGTTTATTTTAGGATTTTTAGTGTCTCAAATGCGCACAAGTGTACGTACTGCTATTAACTTCAGGATAAGACTTTGTGAGATAATGTTACTAATATAAATGTTGTGTTGTTGGTGCAGCTGCAGTGACATGAATGTAAGTCAGTCAGTCGGGAATCTGCTGTGATTTCAAGCACAGAGTTCTAAATATTTGTTTGACAATTCCCAAGAAGAGAAAACATGAAAAGCACAAACTGACCCCTGGAAGATACAGAGCAGTGTGGATTCAACTTAACTGGAATGAGGCCGTGCTTCTCAGTCACTACAGATCTGTGACGTGGTTTTAATAAACGCTGACAGAGACCGTGACTGTGCAGGAAAACTGCTTCACACGCTCCGGAAGAAAAGACTTGTTGCTGTGCGTCCCACAAAATATAAAATCAGAGGGCGATGTACATAAATGTCTGAATGTAAATGTTTAATACATTTTTTTTTCTACAGGTTTACAGCTTCATTTTGTGATTAATTAAAAAGGGCTAAAAGGTTAAAAAGACAGTTTTGCTTCATCAGAATCTTTTTTATAGAGAAAAATTATACTTACGTAGAATAAGTATTTAAATTTGGATATAAATCAGGGACATTGCAATCAAGTAGTTCTACTCAATCTAAAAAGTTGCCATCACAACAGTGACACCACAGAGAAGAGCAGACGTCCTCGTCGTACGGTTTTTCATCGATCACGTCTTTTCATGGCGTCATGAGAGCAAGACGTGACTTCATTCACGTGAGACGAAGAGCCGCTCTCCGTCTGTGGTGTCAGTGACGTGTTTCACCCTGTGTCGTCAAAACGTTCACACGCGTGTCACAGCTTTAAGGCCACGTACTGTTGGTTCAACGCAGAGACGGCTGAGCACTCCGCGGCGTCCGCCACCTGCAGGATGTCCGTCACCGTCGGCCTGTCCTCGGGGTTTTTGCACGGGTGCGAAAAAAGCACGTGTCCTGCTTCATCCAGTAAAAAGTCTCCTCCCATCTGAAAGGATTAAAACGTTTTTTATCTTATTAACAGTTGATTTGCTTTGAGATTTTGAATAATCTGGACGTCTAACAGTCTTTTACCTGGTACAGGTCCTCCAGCAGGCAAGGGGGGATGTCGGGGACGTCTATGTCCTCAGCTCTGTAATGTGAGTACTGCAGCAGGAAGCCGAACTTCAGAACCTTGGCGTAGGACGAGCCGAGGCCAAATCTCCTGTAGATCTGAAAATGTGGAAAATCTTCTCCGTCTCCATATTTTGGTTCATTGCCTTTATTTCCATCTCACATCTTCTCACACCTAGAGACTCTGACTTTTTCCGAATAAAAGTGTTGGAGCGTGCAAAACTTTTATGACACACATTATCAAACAGCTGCTCGATCGTCTGGTTCCCTCAGCTCACTGCGGTGAGTCGGAGTCACAGACCTTTTACCCACTGTCCGGAAAATGAGCTAAAACATCCCAGATACATCTTTTACTGATGAGGTCATTGGGAGCCAGAGTCTGCGCAGTAGCTTTTGGCTTTTTAGTTTGGTCCAATCCACTAACATGGAGGAGGCATGGTTTACGGTCTATATAGGGCCTGCCACCAGGGGGGGCGATTGAGATGCTTTGGCTAAGTTGGCTAAGAGTCCAACTGAAAATGTTTTAGAAAGTTGATGAGGAAGAAGAAACACAGGCTGACCTCTCTCTGTGGATCCAGCATCATGTCAAAGTTACATCCCGTCTGTTCGAGCCACAGCCGAGCTCCCTCTGAGCTGCTGAAAGAAACGACCAGGACCCGTAGTGAGCGAGCCTCCAGGTCAGCCTGCAGGGAAACCAGAACAAAACCATCAGGTACAGAGGACCCAGAGAAGACGAAAGCATCTGTCGCTTTTCACTTTTACTTTATATATATATATATATGTGAAGGTAAATGGGCTGAAAGGCTGAGTGAACACAGACATGATGGAAAAAATGTTGGAATCTTTTGGAGCCACAGAGGAGAAGAAACTTCAGGAGCCGACTTAGTTCAACACTTTGCTTCGAGTTAGATCAGAAGGTCGACACCAACTACGGGAGAGTACCAGGGTCATTCATGACATTTCAGCTTTATTCTTGAAAAGTAAAATAAAAAAACAATTTAAATGATAAACAAGATTTATTATTTTAAATATAGTCAGTGGTCACATATAGGAGTGAGGCTACAGCAACACGTTCCAGGTAAAACTCACAACAGTCAGTGTGTAGACGACACGGAAATAAAGAAACTGAGCGGACTGCAACACAACCCAGATAATATATTTATTCAAACACTACAAGAGAAAAGACTTTTGAGAGACAGATTCTTTATTCGGTTTCCACACACCAACATAACAGAGAACGTCAGCAGATACTTCAACACACACGTTGTTTTCAGACATGGACTCTGGAGAACGTCTGAACAACTGGGTCTGGACTTTCTCCAGAGTTTGTCTTTCACTCACAAACAACACAGCAGAATGATCAAACTATAAATCTTAAGTTTTGCTCCTGTGCTTTTTGGAGAAGTTAAATAATAAAAGATCCAACCAACGTGGAAAATAATCTTTTATTGAACTATTGCTCTATTCAGTTTAAATAAACAACCATTTCTTTCTCTGCCATCCCGTTTAACCTTTCAGATTCATCACGTGACCCCTGTAACCTCCCTTTAGCTGTCGATCATCACCAGAAGCTGCAGGATGAGGTGACGACTCAGTAACAGAACCTGGTTGTTTAGAGTAAACTGACCTGTCTGGCCTCCAGCTCAGCCACGTGGTCCCGTCACGGCAGTCATCCGACATGTCTGATGAGAACCAGCAGCAGCTTCTGACCCAGGTACTCGCCCAGAGTCACGCTCCTTCAACAAAACACAAGCAGGACGAAAGAAAGTGTGATTTTTTTTTTTTTAACACCGACTGGAAGAAGCTGATGGTCTGAGCTGGTTTGTTCATCTACCAGACGCTCATGTTTAGTCTGAGGCTGGTTAGAGTGTAAGCAGCCGTGTGTGAGCTCACTTTCCGCTCCGCGCGTCAGTAAACGTAACGTCGGGGCTCAGACTGTCGGGGGTCTTCACTCCTGAGAGCTGTCGGTCTGTGGTCTGCAGATCTTTGTCCACGCCCTCCAGGAAGGTGTCCCACTCACTCTGCACACAATCAAACACATACCATGAATAATGAGTCTTCAATCAGATCAGTCTAAGTTACAGCTGGACAAAATAATCCATACAGAAAAGATATGCATTGGTGTTAATTTGACTTTTCTCTTTATTTCTGTTTATTCATCATCATGTTTATGGTTAAAATGTAAAACATCAAGCCTCAATTCAATTTCTTGATAAAGTTGTTTGACATTTTTTAAATATATATCGGCCGATATATCAGGATTGTACATTTCTAATATATATTAATATAGGAACTGACATTGACCCCCCCAAAAATCCACATCATCATACATATATATAGGTGCTACAGGTAGATAAACTATTTACTTAATGAAATCATGAGGGAGTGGGTTGCATTATATCAAAATTTGAATAAATATTGTCATGGATCTCTACTGAATATTGAGTTGGGGTTAAGGTTAAACAGCAGGTTGATTTAATCACGTCTACACGCTTCAATTAAATTAATCAATAATGAATTAACACAAATGTATAAAGATTTACAGTTAAGTAAATAAAAAAAGTATCAGACCTCCAGCTGCAGAAGCTCGTCCACCTTCTCCCTCACTGCTGCATGGCTGCAAAAATACAGACAGCGTGTGATGAAGAGACGTCCACACACGGTGGAGTCATTTCCAACGACAACCAATAAGATGGTGAACAATCACAGTGTCTTAGCAAGAAGGAGAGTCGCCCCTTATTTTGACAAATCACACTAACATTTGATTATCTATCAAGAATATGCACGATCATATACTTACTGATAAAACTTCTGCCAGATGGCCTCTGCTTCACTCTTCTTCTTCACTCCGAGGCTGCTCAACAATAACAAAACACTAACTCAACAAACAATTTGAAAAGACGAGACACTTAAAGGTTCAGTGTGTGGAATGCAGTGACATCTAGTGGTGAAGTTTCATGTTGCAGCTGAACACCCCTCACCTCCCGCTCCCCCTCCAAACATGAACGAGAACCTGTGGCAGCTTCAGTTGTGATAAAAACTCAAAAAGGTTTAGTTTGTCCAGTCTGGGCTACTGTAAAAAAAAAAACATGGCGGCCTCCGTAGCGAGGACCTGCTCCTGATGTACATATTAAATATTTAAATACGAAGGGTAAAGAAAAAAAACTATTTGTACAATTTCTATGATACACACAAGTAAAAACATCACAAGGATTATTTCATATTCAGTTTCTGCCAATGGATCCTTTCACCTGAATGTTGCACACTGAACCTTTAAGATTAAAACTGTCGATTTACACAATGAAGCTTTATTTAGAGTCGGTCACATGATTGTGTTTCCGTCGGGGAAACATATCTCACCTCGTGTGGAAGTCTGCTGCTGCGGTGATCAGGCCGAATAACGTGCTGATCTTCCCGGGGACGAAAGTCTCCAATGAGGCTGTTTGAAGACAAAGGGCGACATTATGGACAAAAGCTGATTAGTGAGACGTTACAGTGTTGGAGAGAAGTGTGACGGGGATTAGATGTCAACACTTTGTCTCGTTGATCTGGTTCAAGAAGAAGAAGAATAACTTTATTGTCAGTGAACAGGGTGTATATTATAATTATAGAGCCGCTCCTTCACAGTGTGAAAGTTAAAAAATACGTTATTTAAATATGAGGAACAAAAGGCTTCTCGTGACCCAGGTGTGAAAAGTTATATGATGTTACTTAACTTTTGGACAGGATCTGATGTTTAATCCTACATAATGAACATTTGACCCCAGACTCCTTTATAACTTCCACCATTTTGTTTTAGTTGGGAACAAGATTTGAGTCCTACAACTATATTAAACATGAATTCTGAATCAATGCTTCAAGTCGGCATCAACTTAATATTTCAGCAATTTAACTTAAACCTATAAAGAACAAGTAAGAAAGATAATTAAACACAAAACCTGGTTTACACAAGTTTGTTTTCCAGGTGGTTTCACTCCTTTCTTCGTTTAACATTTAGCAGATAAATCAATATTTTATATTAATACTTTAAAAATGTAACATGGTCTGTGACTTCAATTTAGCATGGTAAATGTTTCTATAGTCCCAGACTCTATTTAGATTTAACACATTTTAAAGTTCTTATGCATATTGGGGAAAACACATTGATTGTACAACAAAGTTAAACGTAAATTCAGCATCACTTTAAACTTGTCTTCAATTCGGCGTAACACTTCACGAACACAACGTCAAATTGTTGTCAATACGGTTGACATTTCACAACAGTAACGGAGATTAATGTGTTCTTTCGCATATCCGGCAAAATGAATCAAATCGTTAAAACGGTTAAATTGTAAACGGAGTCTGGTTCCACACGAGTCTCACCTGCTGCGTCCTTCTGAGCTTCCTGCAGAAGAACTTGACCTAAATTAACCAAGAGACCGAGTCCGCTCGCGACCGTGTCCACATCTGCAGCCATGTTCACGTCCACAGGGTATTCTGCTGCAGCTCGTTTATTATACTGCAGCACGAGACTCAGGCGCGTTCACAGGACGAGATCACGGAAGAGACGTGCGTGTGTATGAGGCGCATGCGCGTCAGCAGATTTCTTTTTTCACAATGAATATTTAAATAAACATGCATAATTAATTAAACAGACATTAACGTATTTATACACTTTATATGTAAATTATCTATAAACATATATGTGTATATATACTTTATATTAATATAAACTCATACACATGCATACATAGTTCTATATAAACACACACACATACAAAAATACATCTATATGAGAATAATCAGAATCAGAAATCTTTTATTAATCCCCGGAGGAAAATTCTAACGTCACAAAGGTCCCGAGCGAGCGATGGAAAAGCTGATTAGTGAAACGTTACTGTGTCGGAGAGAAGCGTGACAGGGATTAGATGTCAACACTCCGTCTGGTTGATCTGGTTCAGGAAGAAGAATAATGCCTTTATTGTCATTGAACAAGGTGTATAATATAATTATAGAGCCGCTCCTTCACTGTGCAAACATACGAGTACAAAAATACTAAAAAGTTATAAAAAGTTATACACACACTCAGAGAGAGAGAGAGAGACACACACAGAAATGTTTCCCAAAGACGACAAGAGCAGCTGATAAAGTTGTCAACCAGTTTTATTGACTAAAACATTCGTTCACTCATTCATTTAAAAAGAAATTCCCTCCTTCCAGTTTTAGGCTTCAAGATTTCAGGTCGTGCACTCGTCCCTGCAGCGACTCGTGACTGGAGCAGCCAGTGCAAAAACAGATAAACATTAAAACCCATCAGAACAATCGTTGATGTGAAAAAGAAAAGTGACACAAAGCAAAACCAGTGTCAGCCATTCACTGTCAGTGATGCAGGAAAATGAAAAAGATCGAATGAGAAGATCAACAAACTGGACATTCAGTGATATGTTAAAGGCCTCTTCATCGTAAACGTTTAAATAAGAAGGAAATGAAATTTGTTCGAGGGACTCAATACTTTGAAATGAGCACCTTTCTCCCTGTGCTTAAACTCAGTTTGACGAGTCGTTCAAATATCCGACAGCAGCCGCACACGTAGCCTCAGACCCTTCAGCGTTCAGTTTCATGAGGTTACTGCACGTCACATCTTCCCTCACACGAGTTTTCCAGATTTAAACACATTTTCATAAAACATCAGTGTAATTCCATGAAAAACGTAAAAATCCAGTGAGTTAGATATCTGTGAGCTTGTTGAGATGTCTTTCAAAGCAGGTTTAAGGAATGATCGCAAAGGAAATAACAGTTGTTGTGTGCTTTTCTATTTCACTTTTAATTAATCCTCAACAAGATAAACCAGTCAGAGAAGTCAGGGAACATTCAGGAGCTCTTATTTTGTGGCTTCTACTGGAGGATCAATCATTGCTTATTATATTTTTAAGGTAATATAGAATTTAATAAAAATCAATGGTTATTTTCTTTTTCAAGTTAATTATGAATTATAAATTGATTGATTGTCTCGTTTGTCAATATCGCCGAACTTTCTCTAAAATCTCTGACTGTCACTCTTGCTTCAGTTCAGAAACTCTTCTTTGTACCAACCCGTCACTGGTCACAGTAAAAGAAACCAGAAGTTCAGCCCAAGAAAAGAGAAGTGACACTTCCACTGCGAGCGTTGAGAAAACCAACTAAGAAGAGACACTAGCTTCGAGGATCCACAGTGGAATTCAACCGCCGAGGTTTTGTTTCTTGTCTCTTGAAAATCCCTCAGCTCCTTCTCTGCTGACAGGCTGGAGCACAGCAGCGGTTTGAAGAAGCAGAAGTTTAAAGTGCCAATTACGATCTTCAACGTTAAATTAAAAAAACTTTAATACGTAACAGCATCGATTCAAAACTTAAATCTCCAGATATGAAGATGAAACATTCGTGGTGAACTAAAACTAGGGATTTTGTCTGTGCGATGACAGATTGTTCGTGCTGATGAGTTTTGTGCTTTGGGTGTTTGAGCGTGAGGCCGAGAGAGAGAGAGAGAGAGAGAGAGAGAGAGAGAGAGAGGGAGAGAGAGAGAGAGCGAGAGAGAGAGAGAGAGAGAATCAGGTTTCAGCCAAACTAACGGACACATCCTGCTTCAATGCTCTCTGTCATTTCTCAGTCTGGAAACACAAAGACCAACTCAAAGTATCGTTGTGAAAGACGCCAAATATTCAGTTCTCGTTAAAACTGATCCGCTATTAAACTTTATGAAAATATATACTTAGAAATAAATCAGCGTGGATCCGAGAAGCTTCAACAGAAAACCACATTTTGGATTCTGTCATATTTGGGTGGACTTGGTAGTATTTGTTCCTTCCTGCTCGAGATCTAATTATCCAATTAAAGAAAGGTCTCACTAACTGTGGCTCTTTGCTGTCGACTGTGGTGGTGATTAAAATAGAATTAAAGCAAATAAAAAATAAAAAACTTCCCAGCTGCGATGTTAGGAGTCGTGTGCGAAGAAGCGTTGAAGGGAAGATGACAGAGAACAAAGCAGGAGTGTGTTTGGAAATTAAACTAATCAAAGTTTTAATTGGAAAAAACAAATAATGGTCTGATCTTCTTTTTTTAAAATTCAAATAATAATCATTAAAGCCGAGTTGATTTGAGTCCGGTTCAGTTTTGGGTTGAGGAAGAAATAAAAGTCACGTTGTTCTGCCCAGTGTAGAAGCTCTATCTTTAAGACTTTAGCGAACAGACCCGCCTCCAGAAGTCGTTAAGACTTCTTTGGACAGTGTGAAGACGAGTCTGTGTTTAGAACCTCGATCATCGTTCTGGTCGACGGGAACGTCTCTGCCACGGATGGAAGACTCTGGTACCAGCTCGGTAAACTGAGGAGGAAGAAGAGATGTGAGGTGAGACAAGGAAAGGAAGGATAAGGAGAGGAAAGGAAAGGTAAAGTTGTGAAGTTAAGGTAAGGTAAGTCAAGGAAAGGAAAAATAAGGAAAGGAAAGGAAAGTAAAGGAAAGGTTTGAAGAAGAACTTCCCACCTTTTAAGATTCATCCAGATCTTTGCTGTTTTACTGAAGCTCTCTGGACTGGGTGTGGTCATAGCTTCAAAATCCACCAGCTGAAACGAACCCAACCCAAACGGTTCAGAAGACTCAGACATGAGAACCAACATGAATGTGAAGGGGCTTCATCGTTACCTTTCCTTTAGGGATCCTACCGACGACCTCTTTCCCGCTGGCCATCAGCGCCCCCATCACAACTGAGTACGCCACCACGCTGAGGACACACACACACATCACGGAGACGCATCAACTCACCGTCCCTCGTCGTTTATTTAAAGCTGTTTCAACAGAATTTACCTGGATCCTCTGGAGAGGGGCATGAGGTTGCAGAAGTAATAAACCAAGGAGAGGATGAGGTTACACAAGGCGTCTGCATCCTGACAGAACAAATCAGAGTCAGCTGCACAGACAAACTGTTTCTACAGACACGTCTCCTTCATTTACACTTTATCAAGACACACACTCAGGGCTGCAGACAGAACGAGACAAGATGAACGTTTGTTTTGTTCCAGGTATCAGTTTCAGAGTGAATATCTATGTCCTGTAGTTACAACAGGAGAAGTGTTGTGTTATCTGTGTAAATGAGATAATAGCAGGAACAGGGGACGGGTTGATTCCCAGCAGTGTTGATTTCTCATTTCTATAAGGGTGTGATAAAATTTCTCTGATACTCACTGAGGTGATACATGAACGTGTAAAAAGATAAATACATTGTGCTCAAAGAATTAATTTCCTGTCTAGAGAACTGAAATCTGTGATATCCCTGCAGAGGAGAAGAAACCAGAGGTGGAAAAACTTTCAAATAAATATTTTTCCCCCTTTTTGTTCATGAAATGTCATAAAATGGAGAAACAGAGAAGAGACAGACTCTTTTTTCTAAAACGTCAACATGACATCTTACAATTACTTGTTTGACAGAAACAGAACCAAATTTTAAACATTCTTAATTTACAGGAAGATAAAACTTAGGAAAAAGAATCCAGGTTAAATCTTACCCCCAGTTCTGTGGAGAGCATTAACGCTTTTCCTTTGGCTGTGAGGTCTTTATAGATGGACTCGATCTCTGACTGGTACTGCTGGGTTCGCTCTTCTGTCGTCTGCGTCTCCACTGAGAACAACATGTTGCCCACCCTGAAACACAGAAAACAATACACAGGGCAAGAATTTAACTAATCAGACGTCACTTCAGCTTCTTCGGTCGTTATGATCCAAATTAACTGGAAATCTTCAGCACAACAGAAGAGAAAAAAAACGAATAAAATCTAAATTAGATCTGAAATTTGGTTCAGGATCGATTTAAAATCTGGACCCAGTAGATTCAAATGTAGTTTCTGAAGTTGTTTGCTGCACTAATCATTTTAATTTCAACAGATTTTCTTCAGCGTGATGAAGCGAGTGTATAAAACTATAAAATGAAAAAAAAAAAAAATCTTGCCTGTCTCCGGTGATGGTGATGGTAAAACCATCGTACTCTTTCCCAGCATCCTTCATGCTCGGAACCTTGGAGTTGACTGTGAAGCCATCTCTGGTTTTACTGTTGAACTGCTTCAGAAAATAAACACAAAAAACACACACACACATAACCTTCCTGGGTTTTTGATGCTGAACGATGATGTTTTGCAATATATTAAATATAAATTTGAGACTAAATCTAACATTACTTTTGTTCCTGTATTTGCCTCCTCTTTACCTTCATTATGGGCAGAAGATCTTCTACTTTGTTGACATTTTCAAGAGCCTGTCGGACTTCTAGTAAACCTCTGGGGTTGTACGCCCTGTGAGACATTATTAACACATATTTGTTACAAAGACGCTGAAAAAACAGATATAAAAACATTCACATACTTCCTCAACACTTTCCTGTGAAATGAAAACAGCCCAGAGTAATTTACATGATGCTCCCTTGTAGGAAGTGGCGAGCGTATTAACACAACGGCAGTTTGTCAGTGAATGAAAGGAAAGAGGTTTAGCTGTAGTTCACCCGTGGTACACCAGTATTCTGTCTTTGATAAAGTCCAGGATGTTGTCAAAGTAAGCCAGGTATCGGATGTTGATAATCTGTCCCCTGAGGAAAGAGAAGAAAGATCAAAAGGCATGTCAACATGGTGGCAGGAGTCAACATGTCAGGAACAAGACCACAGGAAGTGAAAATTGGAATTTTAAACACAAATTTTTGGGGCTAAAACGATGAGATGAACCCAAAGGTCGAGGACACGAGGAAATTCAAGTCACACGAGGGACTCATGAGAGTCTGAGCACATCCTCGGGGGGGATCAGCTCGTTACCTGATGAGGTTGATGTGATTGTTGAAGCCTCGGCTGAGACTCCTGGCAGGCATCTGGTCTAACCACAAAACAGGCTGGTCTGGATCAGCGATCCTACGAGCACACAGAGAGAAACCTGTTTAGTTTGCCAACGGTGAAATTCAATAACTAAAAGGTTTCCTTTGTTATTTTCTATGATCATATCGTGAAAATGGCTGAAATCTAGAATTATCTATCATTTTTATGGAAGACTCATATATCTAACATTTGTCTTCATCCCTAAATCTTTTGGGTTTTAAGGTTAATTTCCCGGAGACAATTACGATTCAACAGTTGCTCCTGAACATCTCCTGGAATACGTAGACTCACATTTTTATGTGTTTTGGTAATAGTCAATCCTTCCAAGCCACAGCAGCACTACTACTTTAACAGTAATTTAAAACTAAAATGTCTTTCTTTGGTCAGTAAAATATCTGTCGTCACCGTATTAAACTGTCAAATTACATCAGTCTGTAAAGTTTATTACGCCAGATCTTTATTTAAAGTAATTTGCCCTTTGAATAGTTTTGTTTTTAGTTGTTATCTCACCTTCTCCATTTAACAGCTATATCAAACATGTCTCTCCACTGCATTTGCCTGGTCTTGCCGTTGACTCGCACTTTGGAGTTGCTCCATGTTCGATGCATGGCCTGCATGACCTCCAGCGTTGCTAAACCCATGGCTGAAAAAGAGATGTACATTATTTATTTACCCCCGTTATTTACACCTAAATGATCTTTATGAGCGGCAGCGTTTGTCACCGGCACCTCTGTGTATTCTCCTGTTCGGTAGGAAACCAGGAGTGTCATATTGCATTAGCGCCCCCAGATGGTCGGCCGTGCATATCAGTTTCTGAACTTCGCTGCTGTAGCTGTCGAAGTTCTGCGGCAGCACGTCCCTGCAAACCACAGAGAGGAGAGGATGACACAGAGGATGAACTTCATCAAAGCTTATACGAGAAGTGAGCAGATTTTACTTCTACTGCGGCTACCTGTCAAACCTCTGAAACGTCTTTATGAGACCAAAGAAACTATTTTCATTTTGCTGACAGAGGCATAAAAACACTTGGGCATTAATGTCATGAGGAAAGACCGCAGGTGTTTGCTTTCAACCACTAGACTCTGACTGCCTCAGCTCTGAGCTCAGAAAAATTGCTTCCAACTGCAGCTCAAGATATTTGGGTGGTGATGGAACCAGATTTCCTACAGAAGACGAGCTGGAGGTGAAGCGAAGGGCAACCTGTAAGATCTTCAAATAAAACCAACCAATCTTCCCTGTGTGTGGTTTCGTTTGCGTTTTGATCTCAGGGCTACGTTAACAGGGACAAGGAATAAAAAACCAGTGTGTGACCTACTTGATATGTGGCTGCAGGCCGGGCTGCTCTTCATAGTCTTCTATTAGAAAAGGCAGGTTCTTGGCCCAGTGATTCTTGAAGTTTCCTGGTAAATCCTGGTCCACGTTGTATTCCGCTACTGGGATGTCCAGGTGGGAGTGCAGGTAGCGAGAGTACTCTGGCAGAAAAACAAAATGAAAAGCAAAGCAGAGAGAGAATATAAGACATCACCTAAAATAACAACCACCAGGGATTTGTTTCAGTCAGAAGACTTGTTCATCATCACTGACCGTTTGAATACACTAAACATAAACTCTGCTAAACTGAATATATAGCGTGAGGGGAAACACCCACCTCTGAGGTACTTCACTTTGAGGTATTCAGAGCTGGCCTTTTGTCCCAGCAGAGGGTCGTTCAACATGACTTTAGTCTGAGCTTTGATCCCCTCGTAGAACTGCCCCATGGCCACGTGGCTCAACCCCTTCATGTACTGGCACACCTCGTTATAGGGCTCCAACTGAAGACACCTCTGAGGAAAGACCGAACAAGAGGACACGAGGAGTGAACTGTGCATCTGTTGCTGAAGCTGGAGTTTATTCCTGCGGCTCAAAGTGCAGTTTGGATGAATCTTGTGAACTCCTCTACCTTGAAGTTGCCTATGGCCTCCTGCAGGGAACCGTGGTGGTAGAGCATCATGCCTCGGAGCTGGAGAGACTGGATGTGGTTCTGGTTCAACATGAGAGCTTTCTGGAAACTCTCCATAGCTGACTCAAAATCACCCAGCTCTCTGAAAAGAGGAAGAAGACACCAAAAGAGCTGGTAAGTAAAGCATGAAAGGTGTGACTCTCATATCCCGGAATAAAAAGGACAAACTGAATTTTTCCATACAAGTTTGAAATCCAGAAACAATAGCGCTGCTGTACCTGTAGGCCTGACCTAGGCTCTTATATGCATCTATGAAGTCAGGCTTGAACTTCAGTGCCTCTTTGAAAGTCTCGATAGCTTCCTGATGAGAGAAAACACAGCAACCTTTCACACACTGCCAACAAAAAAAGGAAACTGCAATAAGGAACATCAAGAGCGTAAGTTGTGACTCAGCGGGTCGTTCAGACATTTTGCAGAACAGACTGCACGATGTGGTCATTTGTGAAAATCAGGTTCAAAACCCAGACTCAGAAAGTAGAACACGGAGCATGCAAGCAACACAATGAGCTTCTGCTTCGTCCATCTCATAACTGATCGTGAACAACAATCTGTTTATCTTACTCAAGAAAACTCCTTTCAATTGTTCTCTCTTTTAAATGGATTTCCATGAAGATTCGTGTCCGTACTGTAGTTAAGAGTTAAGAAAGGCCTCTAAGGGAAACACTTCCAGTCATTTTGCACTTTAAGTTGGCAAAAACAAATGTTTAAACATTAATGAATAATCAAAGCATAAAAATAAATATTCCAAGTGGCTCAAAAGAAGAACTCACCTTGAGCATGCCTCTGTGGAAGAAGGTGAGGCCCTTATAAAGCATGGCGATGGGCTGATTCTTCTTCAGCTCTAAAGACTGCTGGAAGTCCTCCATAGCTGCCACGTAGTCCTGGTGGGAAGGAGCAACACAGCGTCAGCACACACACTCAAATGTTCACAAACAAGCACATAGAGGGAGCTTAATCACCAAACCTCTGAAATGAAGAGCAGCGTTCCTCTGTGTCTGTAGAGTCGAGCGGACGGCTGCAGCTGGATGGCTTTGGTCAGATCGCCCAGAGCCTCACTGATACGACCCAGAGGAGACAGGATCTAAAGACACAACGGAAGCCAAGTAAATGTCATGTCCAAGGACGTGGACAGGCTCCAGTATGTCCAGCACTCAGCTGCCAGGGTTCTCACCCTTACGAAGCCCTGGCAGCACATCACGCCCACCCCCTCATCCATCATCATTGGCTTCCTGTCAACTTCTGCATTCTTTACAAAACCTTCCTCCTCACCTTTAAAATCCCTACGTGCCCTGGCCCACAGTACACCTCTGGCCCACAGTACCCCTCTGGCCCACAGTACACCTCTGGCCCACAGTACCCCTCTGGCCCACAGTACACCTCTGGCCCACAGTACCCCTCTGGCCCACAGTACCCCTCTGGCCCACAGTACACCTCTGGCCCACAGTACCCCTCTGGCCCACAGTACCCCTCTGGCCCACAGTACCCATCAACCCTCGTTCAACCCTGAGAAACAACGGTGACTTGGACTTCAGAGCGTCCTCTTCTCTTTAGGCTGCGCACAATCCATAAACATGACGCAACATAGTTTCTGCTGTTTACAACATTGATAATCTCTACTTACATCAGAGATAATATCAGTCTGTGCAAATCCCGCTATGAATAGAGCAGCCGATTAGACATCTAAACATAAACCTGATCGGACACTCTGGTATTTAATGATCCATTTCAGGTCACAAACAGCTCAGAAACCAGTTTAATGGTTTTATCAGCAACATTAGATCCATCGGTGCCAAGAGCTGGAGACTGTAAAGGGTGTTGTGTCAATTAAAAACTCTACCGGAGCGTTTAGAGTACCTTTTTATGATTATTGGAAACCTCTGAACAGGTTCGGCTCTTACCTCTGCTCTCTGTTCGTAGACTTCTGGCCAGTTTGGCTCCAGCGTGATGACTCTGTTGAGCTCGTACAAAGCCAAGTCAGCATTCTTTATGTCCTGGCAAAGGGACAGAGCGAAGTCAGTTATATTTTATCGGTATAATGTTTATGTGTATATACATGTTTAATGCACCGACGGCTAAAAACAGCCATCAACATTTGTTTCTGCAGGGGAACACGTCCAGAGCTGCAGAGTCATGGCAGATTGAATTTGCTCTTATTGAATATCACACTGAGTTATTGTGGGTTTTCGCCTGAAACTGCTGTTGTCACCAAAATTCAGGATTCCATTACTGAGACAAATACAACTAAATGCATTCACATAAAACTTCCTACTCTGCAGAATAAAGCTGTGGGCTTCAGAAAATGTGTAGAATTGTTTAAATCAGTTTTTAGATTTGACTGTTTTGGCACAAAACTAAACATGAAGAGGAAAATGAATTAAAATCAAACAATATGAAGACGTGTGAAATATGAATCAACTGATATGAATAATCAAAACACCTTAATTATGTGTTTTCTTTTGAAGCTAACTCTTCACTTACTTGACTTTAATTACAACCTAATCATTCAGTTTATGACGTTGTAAATGACTTGAATTCATGCGGCACATTTCATTTGTATTTTAATGCTTGATAAGTAAACGTTCTGTATTTATGTTGCTCATTTTCATTCCAGAGAGGGAAGATGTAGAGAAATTACAGGCCCATGAAACACAGAGCCAAGTGGCAAAACATAGAGAAATGAATGAAACTAAAATATACCTCGCTCTCCTGTGTAGTTATATTTGAACTCACCTGCAGACTTTTCTTTCCATAAGCTATCCCTCTCCCGTAAATGGCACTGACCAGCTCCGGGTCACCCTGTAAAAAAAGACATTAATCATTTAGAAAATATTATTGGTTTAACCCATCAACTGGGTTTTTATCACATTAAACATCACAGACTGATGAGGACTAACTTAAATGACAGAAACAATATTTGTTTGCTTACTTGACACGTGCTTTGACATTTTAGTTCTAATGCTACAGCCAGCCACACACGTGGTTTAGACCTGTCATGTCGTCCATCTTTATAAACAGTCTTTAATTTGAAAGAAGCAGAGTTGAGTGTTTTTTCCATATGTGATGAAGGAACATCCTTCTTTCCTGACAGGTGTATTTTAAGTGAATATTAGCAGAAGGCGGTTGTCGTAAGTTAACTGGATGCAGACAAACCTGAAGTAAGAGGGAGAAATGTTTGATGGCTTCATCATAAAGACCGTTGCCGATCAAAACGTAGCCTATAGCTGCAACGAGAGGACAGATGATGATGAATCCAAACCATTCAGTTCTGCAGAAATATTTTTGGTTTGTGATACATCCTGTACGATGAACTTTCTAACTTACCAAGTTCTTCATTTGTGTTGTGGTTAACCACGGGGAAGGGGATTTTCTTCTGCTCTATAAACAACTTGGCCTGGTTCTGCAAGAGATGGAGAAAAAAATATGTATATACGAAACTTCAGGGGACGGCACAGGAAGGAAACTACAAAACTGTCACTTTGACAAAGTGAAAGAACAGAAGATTACGAGATCACAACACTAAGTCTCAAGGCTGGAGTCGCTTAAAACCTGTTTTCTGTTTCTTTGAAAGTGTTACAATCGAGTGACACCAGCAGAGAAGTGGATGAAAACATCTATCAAGGACATTTCTGCAAGATAAAAGGTTTTTTAAACGAGCCTTTCAGCATCTCTCAAGGTGACACCGAGCAATGTGTTTACCATAACAGGATGCAAGTGTGTGCAAATGTTGCTGTGGCAGCATTTTGTGTAGATAATCAGATAGGTTGAGCAGAACAAGGAACAGCAGCTAAATCATCAGCCACTGGCATTCAGTCAAATGTCAGAGGTCTGTTTCTCTTTTCCACACATGCGCGTCCAAATTTCAACTTCGTCCAAAAAATATTCACTTTCAGGCTTTAAAAATATTATACGACTTGATCTCCAGTGCTTCTACAAGTGCAACAAAGTCCTGATCACACAAAACCACACATGCTGAAAGTCTGAGGTGCAGCAGAGTTGAAACTTCCACCAGTCAAGCAATATTTTTCAGCTTGGATTCAAACTATTTTAAACTATCTTCGACATACGGTGTCTGTTGATTTGTGTGTGTGTGTGTGTGTGTGTGTGTGTGTGTGTGTGTGTGTGTGTGTGTGTGTGTGTTCTCACCAGGATTTTCTCTGCATTAAGAGAGAAGACTGACTCGCAGGGCGGGTTGCTTCCCTCCTCACAGTCTGGGTCTTCTAACTGTAAAATTGATGACTCTAAAAGACAAACGTTCACAACACAACCTTAACTATCTTTACATATTTCAGACCATTGTATGTATGACAATGGATTAATACGTTTTAAAACAAATGGCAGTCAAACTGGTTTTCCCAGTTTGGTTAATGGACAGCGAGGTGCACTAATTTTACCCTAACACAGAGAAAACTACTGCCATCAAAACATCATGTCTCTTAATTTATCTGTGGTAAAACGTAGGACATCGGTTCATCGGTCATTTCTTCATTATTACAGTGGAATTTATTCTACCGGCTTTCAAAAACCCAACATTTAGTTTAACATCACATGTGATGAATGGTATTAGCAGACAATCACATAGGAGACTATCACATTTTGCTCAACAAAAGCAGATGAACTGATTATCAAACATATGTTTCACTTGGGTGCAAACATACAAGAAGTAGAAGTGCTGTGGAATTTTAACAAAACGGAATATCTCTGCAGTTCAACACACATTCATTCAACCACGGAGCAGTAGATCAGCTGCAGGACGTCAGCCCGCACAACCAGTTGCTATTCTCTCAGTCCTCTTTTACCAAACTGCAACGAGACAGGGAGCCATAAAAACTGTAGTTTAACAGAAACTACAGCTCTGTGTATAATGAATACCCAGTTGGCAGTTTATTAGGAACACTAAGCAGAAATGAATGCAGTCTAATATTGCAATCCTGCAATAAATCCCACTTTCATTGGGGTTGTAGCTGCAGTTTCTGCTGAGGCTGCTTTAGAGAGGTGGTGATTCATTTTTACGGATGTGGGGTCAGATATAATTTTTTTTTGTGTGTGACCACATTAAACTTAATCCTCAAATATAATCATACAATTTAACCAGCAGCAGCCTGTCCATTATATTTGAATAACAACAAGTGAATGTTGTAAACTTCATGAAGGGGGGAGGATTCTTTGCAGCAGAGAAGTTATTATCATGCAGCTTTTCCTCATTGACAGGCTGAATAACAGTAACACACACCTGTCAGTGCATCACGTGTGAACACGAGAGGGACCGAATGATGCAACACAATTCAACAGCACTAGAATATATTCTACACTGCTGCACGAGCATCACATTCCTATGCAGGGTGTTATCCTAATACCTGAGTGTGTGTCTGTGTGTGTATATATATATATATGTGTGTGTGTGTGTAGAATACAACAGAAGCACATCACCATCTTTTTAACAACAACACACTTGCTGTCAGGGAGTGCAGAACTAAAACTGCATGTTTTTTGACAGGAGTCTGGTTCCCACCTCTCCAGAGAAGAAGTTATAAACGTTATAGTCTCATTAAAATACTCTCTCTCTCTCTCTCTACTCTCTGACCTCCATTGTTGGTTTAAAATCCAGTTTAACCTCCAGCGGGGTGACAGCAGGAGCGGATCTCCTCTGCTCCGTCACCGCTTGTTGACATTAGCTGTTATTAGCCTAGCTAGCTAGCTAGCTAGCTAACGGTAGCTCTCCGGCTATGAGCTAGCCGGCGAGCCTCCGCGGTAGTACCGGTAAGGGGGGGGGGGAGGACGTGTCGAGGTGGCGGGCGATGCGGAGGCACTTTACCGCAGTCGGACGCGTACTCCTCCCACTCGGACAGCGAGCTGCAGCCCTGCCGGTGGAGCTCGTTGTTGAACAGCGTCAGGGCGGAGAAGTGCTCGGTGGAGACGGAGGCGCGGCTCAGGCAGAGCAGCGAGAGGACGAGCAAGGCGGCGGAGGCGACGGAGGCGGCGGCGGCGGCGGCGGCCCGGCTACCGGGGGCCATGTTGCTCATGTGTGACAAGCACCGAGCGGAAGCTGCCGCAGCGCCACCGCCGAGAGCTGACTACATGTCCCGGCATGCTCTGCGGCTGTCAAACCGGTCCGTGCAAACCGCGTCAAGTAAACTAATCGAAACCTTTTTCCTCCGGAAGCCTTTCAGAGTAAAATCACAAGTACGCGACTGTCACACTCCACAGGTGTAAAGTACTTTGGTTGTATCATTTTGTCAGGTACAAATATGATAGAACTGAAGTATATGCTTGACTAACCTGTCATTTGCCATTGTACTACTACTACTACTGCTGCTATTATTACATCAACAAAAACCTGTACTACTACTTCAACAACAACATCAACCAGTTCTACTATCACTACCACAATAACAACTATTACTACATCAACTTTTACTACTACTTTAACTACTACTACAACAAAAACCTGTACTACTATTACTACATCAACAACATCAACCAGTTCAACTATAACTACCACAGTAACAACTATTACTACATCAACTTTTACTACTACAACAACAACTACTACTACTATAACTACCACAACAAAAACCTGTACTACTACTATTACTACATCAACAACATCAACCAGTTCTACTATCACAACCACAATAACAACTATTACTACATCCACTTTTACTACTACAACAACAATAACTACTTCAAATAATACCAATACTATTACTTCATCAACAACAAACTATATTTCTACTTTTAATATAACAACAAAAACAACTGCTACTACTGTTGTGATCAATGAAAGTATATATATCTTATCTAATTAAAAGTGCTGCAGAAAGTAAAGTGTGTATGATATAACATGTATAACATTTCACAAAAATATTTTCTCAACCTCTCACAATTTTGACAAACCAGTGCTTTTACTCTGAATGCGGGACTGTGAGCAGCCATCTTTCTTCCGGCTGCACAGTCCCTCATGCTAGCTTCTTCTCATCTGTTTCCAGAGGAGATGATGGATAAACGTGTGTTTAGATGCGTTGAATGTAACGAGACAGCGACGGAGCTGCACCGGGATTACAGCAACAACATCCTGAAGATTACCATATGTGTAAGTTAACGATTCACGTGTTAAACTCGGGTTATCACCACGATGCTACTAGCTAACGAGTTAATAGCTCCATCATGTGAAGATCAGTGTATTTACTGTTGTCACATGTTGTCATGGTGTGTTTGGGATCGGGACTGTTTGTTTTAAACTATAGTTTATAAGGATAAGAACTAATAAAGTAGTGAAATCAAACGTGAGCCAATGAAATATTAGCTTCAAACCCTTTAACCAAGCTAATTAGCATCATCCCTAAGCAACAACACACACATAACTGGATAGTTGTAAGTAAATACGTTTTATTTATGAAGCACCTTTTTAAAAAACATTAACATTAAGATTAAAAACAGGAAACAACACAAACAATAGAAGAATAAAAACTATACAGAGGACGAGTTAAAACAATGGAACCACAGGGACAAGACCAACTTAAATTCAAATAGCACGTGTTTAACAACTTCTTAAAACTGTTGACAGACTGTATTTTGTATAACTGAGTGTGTGTGTGTGTGTGTGTTTCTCCAGGAGTCCTGCCAAAAGCCAGTGGACAAGTACATAGAGTATGACCCAGTTATCATCTTGATTGATGCCATCTTGTGCAAGACGCAGGCGTTCAGGCACATTTTGTTCAACACAAGCTTGGATGTAAGTTAAGAAAATAAGCGTAATGCGTTCCATCCTTCCTGGATTGTAAGCATCTTTATAAACATCGAGAAACAAATAATAATAATAATTGGAAGAAGTGATGGTAAACTTTTAGTGTCTTGATTAAGATGGATTTCTGTTGACTGTTAAGTTATTTCATGTCTTATTCTGTCAGGTTAGTCATCGTGTTCGGGTTCTCTGGACTCGTATCCAGATCACTAGTGTTTCTCTTCAGGTCGTGATTGTGCCCCTTCTCCTCCGTCTTTCTAGATTCACTGGAAGTTGTGCGTGTTCTGCCTGCTGTGTGAGGCGTACCTCAGGTGGTCTCTGCTCCATGGCTCCAAACAGAGCAGTGACCCAGCCGACATCATACGGTACACCAAGGAGTGGGAGTTCTACGGCATGTTTGGATTGGCCGCCCTCGGTAAGATGATCATACGAGTGCTATGAAAAAGTATTTCTTTAAATTTACTGGTATCGTCTCTAACTATCTATTTATCTGCAGATTAATATCAGAAGTATAAAATATCAGAAGATGAAAAATGCTCATCACAATCAGCAGGGATTCACCAGAAGCTGAAATCGGAGAATGATTGATAACTTTGACAAATGACAGAAACGATGATCAAATTATGATGAAGTGGCCTCAGGGAAAAGGAATGATAAATCCTTGCTGCATGCTTTGAGTGGTGTTACAGGGAAAACACCTTGACACAGAGTGACTCTTGTTGATGCAACAATTTGATCTTTGTTTCTGAGAAGTCAGTCAGTGACTCTTCTTTATCTCGCTGCTGTAGAGCTGTCAGCGTTCTGCATCAGTGTGCTGTGGTTCCTCTGGGCGGTGGTGGGTCGTCTGCAGGGCGGGAAGCTGGAGCTGCGCCTGCTCCTCCGTGCTCTGCTGCTCTCCTGCTACGGGAAGGTCCTCCTCATCCCTGCCGTCATCTGGGAGCACGACTACTCCCCGCTCTGCCTCGGCCTCATCAAACTGTTTGTGCTCACTTCAAACTCACAGGCTATCAGAGGTATGAGAACATTTCTGTCTGAAGGGTTGATTATCCATCAAATAACAAATTATAGACAAGGTTGAACACGTAAACTTACATCAATCTGATCGGAACTACCTTGAATGACTGAAACCGTATTTGACCACCTGTTAACATGGAGGAGGCTGAGTTTATGACCTATACTTCAGCCAGCCACCAGGGGTTGATCAAGCTGACTTAGCTTCAATTTTGGCTGACACTTTCTTCCTGTTTATTCCTTCTCCGTGTGATTTCAGAAGTTTCTAACATCTTTTTCTCTCCTGCCTTTTTTTCTGCAGTGATCCTGAACAGCAGTAGACGTCTGTCACTGCTGGCTGTGTGTTTAGGCGTGCTGTCTGAGACCTGTGTGGCTCAGGCCTGTAAAAAGCTTCCGTGGAGCATCCAGGAGATGTTGACAGACTGAGACTTAAGTCACTAATCTCAGGGAAGGACAAGTGACTGTGGACGTCAGCCTGTGACAGAGGCAGCGAGCCAGTTTTTAACGAACCTTCTGCTCAAACCTTCGGCATCGGTTCCTGTGAGGCAGAGACGGATGCAAATGCCTTAATGAAATGTCTGCAGGTTGAGATAAAGAGCAGCAGAAGATATTTCTTTTCTCAGGATTTATATTGATTGCAGATATTTACGCCGGCAGACTGAAAAGGTGCTGGATCCTTGATCTTGTTCTTGAATTTAAGTTTTAAAGCGGACAATGAAGCAAGTCAAGATTCCAGTGTGTTTATTTCTGATCACTTTATCTGGAGAGGAGCTACGACATGAGGAGCATCCCATGATCTAAATTACTGTAACATGCTCTAATTCCTGGGTCACACAAACACAGAGGCTGAGGTTGTAAATAGACAATAACTCGTTCTCTGTGTGGACAGGACACTCTTCACATTCTGTAGCTCATTGGTGAAATTCTTACACTCACTCACACACAAGATAAATGTTGATACACAGGGTTGGTAAAGAAAACCTGTTGACTTATTTACTTTTGTAACTGAGCTTATGAGCCACAACAAATAGCAGAATGGACACGAGAGAGCCAGCAAATTAGAATTAAACATGACAAAAACACGCCATCGCGGTACATGTATGATAGGGGCCATCACACGTGTGTTTATCTGTTGGGAGATGCTTTTCATATTACTGGTTCCCCAGAAGAAAATATTTAGTTCAAAATTCTATAAAGTAAAAGCAGCAAATCCTCACGTTTGATAACTGACTATGATTATTTGATTAGAATCTTACCAGACATCTGATTTTAAATAATCATGATGAAACATGTTGATTAGCTTCAAACTTCAGCAGCTCTCCACCCACCGTCCCTGGAATGTGGATCATGTGTCTGTAAACACAACAGATGTTCAGTCAGAGTTTTTCTTTTCTTCGAAGGGATGATCATTTATGAGCACTTCTTTTGCATTACCTCGCAATAAATATAGTGTTTCCTCTTCCCATCCTTCTGAACCATCACCCACACAGGAAAGTCAGAGAGAATAGCGTCCTCTTATTGTCGGGGCTTTTAAATAAAAGTGTCCGTCTCACAGTTTAACGTGGATTATACCAGAATATTTTCTATTTTTGGTTTTGAAATGTGCAAAGAGACATGATATTGAAATAGCTGTGGCTCTCTGACATAGACCAGCCCTCAACATTTGGGTGCGACATGTGTTCCTGTGATGAATTATGTAAAACCCACTTGCGGAGCGAGTGGCCACAGTCTGCAGAGAGACAGATAAATGTTGCAGCATGTGAACCGTCTGTTACACACAAGATATGAAAAACAAAATGTTTGCACTTTCACATAGTTGCTCAGGGTTGCATGTGATTTTGTGCATGCGTGTGTTTGCGCGTGCTGCCCCTGCACATGGATACGTGTTATTACAGGTCTGTGAATAGTTGAGGATACAGCACATGAACGTGGAATGTGTCCTCGCCCTGGGTGGATCTGCTACAGAGTCTCTGTGGAAATCAATCCACGCAAACACAACAACATCATCTCATTGAAGAAAAACAATCCAAAGCTTGAATTCATTAGATCGTAATAAAGAGTAAATAAACATGAGCATTATGTTTTGTGGTTTTTCTGTAGTGCTGTGATTCGTCTGTGTGAACAAACCGCTGAGAGAGCTTCTGAATGTGGAGTCTGGAAAGTGTTGTTCACTTACTGTGGCGTGTAGCGGTTTAATCTGAGACTAAACAGATTAAGATTACAGCCATTGACCTGCAGGTCTGGAGGAGAAGACCAGCATGGAGTCAGTTCGCCCTCCGTGTTTCTGCTGATTTAAAACACTTTACTGAAAATCTATTTGTTCATTCTGTTGATCAATTGAACCAAAAGGTACAGACTGGAGGCCACAGTTTAAATTTTACATTTCACAATCAACCATGTTCAACACAGAGTTGATCAAATAGCATGATCTGAGATGAACAGTGGAAACTTTTAAAACTAGAGCGCATACTTCTACAATCAAGCCACGCCCAATTTCACACATTCATAAATATCAGTCCCCTAAATGTTCTTTTTTCCATCAAGATCCATGAATTATTGATAAAGTTGAGTCGTTCTTCAGTAACCTTGCTTTTAAACCAACAAACAAACAAACAACCTTCTTGGCGGAGCTCATAAAAATGTTCATCCAAACATCCACTGTCATCATTAACACACACACACACGCCTCCAATTAGATGAATCTGCGTTGATTGATCCAGAGCTGATGAAGAACGTGTTTAAAGCTGTTCTGGGTGCAGCTGCATTCACGACATGTAAAGATTCTAATAACCTGTTGCACAGTAACAACAGGAGGAAACAAACAGCTGAGTCATGACCTCAGAGGAATCAATGGAATGAAGAGAACAAGCCAGAGGAAACAGAGGGAAACTCTGATGTGAGATAAAACACACGACTAAATATCAAAGTGACGCTGTCAGTCTAAAAACATCCACCTCTTCTTTCACACATGTTGCTTTGAGGGACGAGCGTCACAGTCCGGCTCTGATGTGGAAATCTGTCCCCTGCGGAGAGAGTGATGCGCACCTTGGATTTGCCCGCTCGGTCAAGATTATGTTAATCTGCTCTAATCTCCCGACAGACGCTCGGACAGGCAGCACGAGACCAGAGCACAGAGAGGCAACATGGGATTCCAATCACGCTCAGTGAAAGCCAGGGCCTTCGAACACAGAAAACCTCCCAACTGTGAGGACACAAGCTCAGAGACGAACAACAGAACTGACTGAGTTCATCTGTCGTCTGCTCAGCTGGTTTATCACGTTTTAAAGAAACGCATTTGTGACCTCTGCAGCTGCCACACTCTGATATTTCAAATCTGAACATCTCAGCAGAGATGTGGAGAACGTGTTCATACGATAGCTGCCTGGCCCAGTTCTTCAGTCTCTCTGGGAGGGTTGTGAATATGAAAACATACAAACAGTTGTATCATCATCAGTGATTCCTCTGAAGCTCTCAGCACGAGGAGATGCTACTTCAAAGCCATCGCATCCTGCCGCTGCGGAGATGATCAATTAAAGCGGAACGGCACCGACGTGGCACAGACTCCGCTGCAAAATGCAGATCGGTGCATTTAAATGCAGGTCAGAGTGAGATGCATTCAGGAGAAAGAAAGAAGTAGGGCAGCAGAGAGAGGAGGAAGACGGTGGAGAGAGAACTGAGTCTTTCAGTGTTTGGTTCTGTGAGGGGATGAAGAGGATCGTTAACGTTCTGTGGTTTATGTTGTGTCTTCACAGTTTTGGACAATTGTTGGATTCAGGAATCTTTTTTCGCTGTGAGACAGCCGGATGGACATTTTGTGTGAATGTGAGTTTTTAGCAAAGCGGTTGTTGGAGACGTGTGCAAAGAAAAAATTATCAAAAACAGACTCTGAGCTGATTTAAGATTCATTTCACTCCAAATTATCGTCTAGTTGAGTTTCTATTCCACAACAACACAAACTCCAGACCTGGAAAGTATGGAATCACTTTATTAAATTAATATCAGGATAATAATTATGAGAGAAAAGCACTGAGACTATAACAGTAGTATGGTCGTTCAGGGTTAAAGAGCAGGAGTCATGATGGATGATAACAACACAGGCTTCACACGTGTTCGTCTATACAACACAAAATACATCAAAACGTCTGTCGCTATAGTGACTTAAAGAATGATGATATATATAAATACGACATTTCAGATATTCAAAGCTTGAACGTGATTATTCTGGAAGTCAATGCTGGTAAAATGGCTGCAAACCCCATGTTAGCGTCTGTTTTATGTTTCATGGCTGATTTAACAGAAATCTCCACACAGGTCGGTTTATTTCAGCGGGAGAAGAAACGTACGTTTCAACAAAATGCGTTTTTAAACATTTGAGGCTTTTTCAGGGAAGCAAATAAACACGTTACAGGGATAAATCTCCTCCCTGACACCCATTAAATACCATCCACTTTGATTAAGAGTCTCCATTTGCTATTTTTTGGTGCAGCCACTTCCGCAACCTTCACATTTCCCAGAATGCATCCCGTAGAATCACGAGAGCACAGCTGCGTACACACGGCAACGCCTCATCTCTGCGGTTGCATTTGCATTCTGGTCTATTGAGGCCACTCGAGTAGAAAACATTTCTCCATGTGATTGTTTGGCTCCAGAAAGAAGCACTCGCTTTTTGATTTAGAGAAACTAGCACTGAAAGTTTGACGTTCATAGTTTGTTGGAGTAAATCCGTTAAAGTGGCGGGTGGATCATTTACATCTGTACGGCTACTGATGTAAAACAACACGACCAAATAATACAAAGTGACATGACGAGGATTTAAGATGTTACTCGTCCCAACAACACAAACCACATTTTGCCACAGGTTTCTCCTGAGAAGGCATCACCACGTTTACACATCCAACGTTTTTTTTTTTTTTTTCAAAGTAGAAAATACACGATATTCAACTGCTGACGTTACAACACTGGGTGCAGTTTGCTGGTGTTGTTAAAAGCAGAACGAAGCTCTTATTACTGAACATTTATCGAAGGCTGCTCGACGTGGAGGAAAATGTCTTTTTATTTATATCCGTCAGTGTTGATAATCGTCATGTGAAGAAATCATTGTTTGTTTCAAATTTAAAGGCAAACTACACAGAAAACTGAGGCTGACTCAAAACAAAGCCAAACAACCATTATGCTGAACTTCTGTTATATTGCTGTTGAAGAAAATGACACGTTCTCTCCCAGCCTTGCTCCTCACCTTTTAATCAGTCTGAGACCTGAAGATTTCTAAAGGCACTAAATGTGTAGACATCCAATAACAGGCCTGGGTCATGATTTCTCATCGGTTAGATTGTTTGTGAGCTTTAACAACAGAACACTTTTTTTTTTTTTTTTTTAAATCACCCAAAAACGCGTAATTTGACTGTAAAGTATTAGCAGCACTCAGATCCAAACTGTGGAAAGAAATAACACAAACATTCAATTGAAATTATATAATAAAACCATTGTTCTCTGCCTCTGATTGGTTATGTAGTTGTATTAAGACATTTTCAGACGCATTAAGATTATTATGAACAACGAAGGGTTTCAAGTGAGTAAATACGTGAGAAGCAGAAAAAGAGTGAAACCAAACTCAGATTGGAGTCAAAAGACAAAAATCCTCGACAGACCTTTAGAGTCGTGAAGTGATCAAACTGGTAAAAGGAATAGTTTGACGTTTCTCGTCGTCCGTCCTCGTTCACACGTGTTTGTCTCTGAACTCCGGTTTGTGTCCAGATTTAAACACTGAGCTGTTAATTAATGAGCTTTAGTGGTGCTGCTGGATTTTCTTTCTGCCGAAGAGAGCGAGGTGAACCCTTTCCCCGCTCACGATGCTGCTAAGCTAAGCTTACGACCTGCAGGAGGTGGTTTCGTAACTTCTGAACAAACATGAGGGTGGCATCGATGTTATTATGCAACACTCAGCCCAAAAACAAAAAACGTCGAACTTTTCCTTCACCAACAAACGTTGTACAGTTACTACACATCAAGCTTCGAGCTCGTTACACAAACCAATGTGTAGCTGTGACTGTGTCCAACAGTAAATTTAATCCTCTAGACTTTCATACGTCAGTCGGTGGAATCAATGTCACAATAACCGCGTCGTTAGGAATCAGACATTAGTGTTTCCGTGACACTGGGACAGTGAAGCACAGAGAATAACGTGTGTTCAGTGTCCAGCTCCATTCATCAGCTGTGAAAAGACTCGTGGAGACATTCTTCAACACATCAGGTCAGATGTTGAACTGCACCTTTAAAGTCAAATGAAAGTTTTTCTTCTTCGGCAGCTTGAACCAAATACATTTCATCTTGAGTGCTGCACTTTCTTTGGTTTGTGTTCCAAATGTACACGTGACGTCATGTGATCTGTATCGTAGAATGTTTATAAAGATGGACGACGTTCCTGCTCCGGAAAAGTGGAGCCAAATCATCTTGATCGCCCCCCCCCCCCGGGGGCTGGATTCAGTATAGGTTTTAAACCCTGCCTCCTCCATGTTAGCCAAAGGGCATGGAACTAAATTAAAAGGTCGGATATTTTGGCTTCACTTTTGTACAACAGGAGGAGGTGAAGACGTGTCGTCCATCTTTCTACACAGTGTGATCTTAACAGACGCAATATCAACACACAACTGAAAACAGCGGCTGCTCGCCGGAGCTGCGACGTTAGCGTGCTACAGAGAGTTCAGATATTCAGGAAGACCGGACAGAGCATTCAAATGAACATTAGAAGTTAAGAATATATGCGAACACACACATCCAATTGTCTTTGCCTGACGTAAGATACATGACGCAGGACGACGGCAAAAGAAAGAGACGTAGAGTTTAAAGTAAGGCTGTGTTTGCAAATGGAAACTCAGACTGTGCACAGAGATCTGTGAGGACACTGGAACCGTCCTCACTCTGAACATAACAGACACTCCCTGGTACAATCTTGTTAGAGATAAGTAATGAGTAGAAATGGAAAAGTCCCCGCTGCTACAGTTTTTAGGACGAGGCTCGGACAATTTTAACGGAAACCCGGTGGATGTAAGAAAACGCTGAAATAACAATCGCTCTGAAGAATTAAATATTGTTCAGCATGAGCCTGCATGTGCTGCTACGGTGAGAATTGTTAAGATCTTGTAGGATACGAAGTTTTATAAAAGTACCCTGTATTCAACTGATATTTGCTGCCAGGTTTAGAGCGACAGCTTCGTGTTTGCTCCGCAACACTGACGACAGTAACGCCCTCGCGATCTGACCGAAGCAGAACTTGTCAAAGTCGCCGGCCACCGATGGCAGATCAGATTTATGCACTTGTGATTCCCCTGTAAGTCCGTTCCAACGGTCAAGTGCAAGCTACAAGAGAAGTTGATCGTCGCCGGTCAGTTTCTCAAATCTTGGCAACATCTAGATAGAATATATTAATACAAGCCTCAAAGTTGTGTAGAAAATGGCTCATGTTGTGTAGTTGTGTTCCTGATGATTACTGGTTGTCACCTCCTAACGGGTTATGTTGAAGAGTAATTAGTGTTTATCACAACTTGGGTTTTATTTTCATAGTTCTGGCTGCCATTTCTACTGATTAAGATAATATTGCACTCAAACTAATTGCTGAGCGTCTGCCGAAGCTCCCAGATCTCAGCGATTAACTCGATGATTACAATGTTAAGTTGTAATGAAGTTTGTAATATCCATGACTCATCCAGCATTTTGAACGTTTCACATTTTCAGAGCAAACGTCTGCTCCGTCTAAAAGGCAAAGAAAGTGAGGACCTCGCCTCTGCACAGACACGCCCTCCGCTCTTCTCAGGTGTGAGGTCTCCACCTCTTTCTCCACTACAGAGGTCTGACAACGTTAACACGCCCACACAGTCTCCATCAACACGTCGACGAGGTCGATCGTCTCTTTGCACCAACATCGATCGCAGAGCTCAGAAACCTCATCCTCTTTCCAGCACGTAAAAGCTGTGCCCTTGTTCCTGGGTAGAGCCGAAGTACAAACTTTCCATTGAGAGCTATTTATATTATATAATAAATAATAAAACTTTGTTCATATATCTTGGTTATGTAAAAAAACGTTTTGCCAAAAAGGGAAACTGGCTAGTGGATACAGAAGCAGCGGCAGAGCTGGTTATAAAAAGGAATACATCATTTACATATATTGCCTAATTTTGAATATGCAAAGTCTTTAAATACAATCCATCTCGACTCCTGAGTGTTTCAGAGGGCGTCATCAGCGACGTATCGTCAGGACACCGGGGCGCAGGTAAGAGTTTCACCTGAGGAGGAGAATGATGACGCTGGAGCTGGTGCTTTATATTTACAGTCTGTTATGGTAAAGAGACACCGTCTCTCTGACCCATCGCTCCCTTCTCAGAGGCCAAAAGGTTTTTTTTTTTAGAGCCGCTCCACTTATCCTCCAGCTTTACTCCGTCCGCTTCCCCCGAAATGTCTTTCCATCTGCAAGAGAGATGCTGAGAACGAGGCCTCAGATGGTGACGTGAAAAGAGTCCCAGCTGTCGTCTTTGCTGATGCCGCTCCCGTTCTTAGCCGCTGTCCCGTCTCCGACCTCCCCGTCCGGCTGCTCCCCGGTGGGAGTGGCGCCAGGCTCCGGGTAATACTCGTCGTCCTCGTCGAAGTAGCCGTTCTCCATCATGCTGAGGCTGGAGGCGGCGCTCAGATCCTGGCAGCTGCCCTTGTACTCCTGGATGGACTCGTGGAGCGACCACAGCTGGCACAGCAGGGACATGTCCTGCTGACGCAAACCCACCTGGAGCGGGCAGACGCAAGGTCCTCGTTAACACACGTGACATTTAAGTATTTCATTTTGGAATATTAAGTGTTCACTGGTTCTGAACTGCTGCTCTAATTAGTTGCCCAGGAATTTGGTGTATGAATTGTTGGAAGATGGTGAAAAAGTCTTAGTCTAAGGGTTAAGGTCCAAAACTCAGACGTTTTATTTAGCGTCTCATAAGAGAAATAAATGAGGGAAATCCTCACAATTTCGAAGCTGTAGTTTCTGCTTGAAAAGTGACTCAACAATCAAAATAGCTGCTGATTAATCCTCGGCCGATCAAAGCCCGATAATCGTTTAAGTTGATTAGACGAAACCAGCTGGACTTGATAAAGACATAAACTCGATGATCTACGTCAAGGAGAAAAACCCTGCACACGTTATCTCTCAAACTGCAAACAGAGACAGTACGTCTCCATAGTCTTTACCACAGACAAGCCGAGTGATCTGGGATCAATCCTGACCCGTCTGTTAGCAGAAGATCAGTTCAACGTTGTTTGTAGTTTTATTACAGCGCCAAGATTTAGCGTGACACTTCAACAGATTGTAATCCAACCGGACGTTACGACACGAGATGCACAACATTACAAACTCAAGACTGAAGCGTCTGAGTGTCTGCAGGGTTAAAAAGGCACATTTCTGCTGCATACCACCGTGCTGACAATGCAGCGTGAACCGAGGGTCACGGCGTTGTCTTCCACGCAAATTACACAGAGCGGACATGTGAGTCAGGCGGAGTTCAAACAGCTGAGAGAGCTTTTAGTTTCCAAAAGACAGCAGAGAACTTATCAGACAGACTCTTAGTAACACATTAACAGAAACAGAGCAATGGGCCTGGAGTCAAGCTCCTGCAGCACAAACAGTCCAAACCACTAAGAGGTTTGAGTCTCAACAACTATTTGACCCTTTTTAATCTGAGTAATTGAAATGAGTTCGTCCAGGAGCCGTTAAAAGGAGTCGAGCGTGATAAAGACGTCTGGTCGTGATATGAAAATCCCTGCTGCTGGCAAAGGGAGAGAGAAATCAGTGTTTGGTTACATGTGTTAATATAAAACTAATAGAAATAACTTTATTTGTAAAGCACTGATCTAAACAAAGTGATTGAATGAACTCAAATTAAAAGGTTTTCAATTCAGTCCAATTTCAAAGTAAAAGATTCATGGGTTTTTATTTTGGCTCATGTGTCATTATAACAATAAAGGGCAAAGTAGACAGTGAAAGCTTTTTAATTGAGCTTTAATTTATTTTTGCCTGATCCCTGATCCTGTTTTCTCTTGGGTGGTGGGGGGGGGGGGTTGAGGTTTCTTCGTGCCAGACTCCGTTAGAAAAAATCGGGTTTTAACTCACCACGCTTGCAAATGTCTTTCTCCAGTGTGCAGCCGAGAAGTCAACGCAGTCTGACAATATTTTTGTCCGAACACTGGTTAGCATGATCGGACAAAAACACACAACAGTGGAGGTAATTTAGAGACTAGTTTGAGCGTAATGTCCCGTGTTAGAAAAGCCACCTGGGCTGTTACGGAAAAAAGCGAGCTCCCTGTTTGAGAATGGGTGTTTTCTTCATAACACAAGGCGCCTGTTTAACTGCATATAAGCCGAATTCACCAGAGGAGTGTGTTGACACGTAAAAAGACGAAAGTCGCAGTTTAACTCGAGCTCAACTTTGCCTCGGAGCCACTCGACTTCAAAATACCGCATTTTCCCAAGGGAGGCTGGTCGCGAGATCTCACCATCTCCTTCCGCAGCAGGGCCAGGGCAGCGTCCAGGTTGGCCGGCTTGTTGGCCAGCAGGTTGTCGCTGTGGTTGCGGCCTCGGCTCAGGTCGTCCTGGATCATCGTCTTCTTCACGTACATCCGCTCCATGTCCCTCCAGGAGCCGCCGCTCGAGTTCAGCAAGCCGCTCAGGCTCTTGGGCAGCGGCGGCAGCCCCTCGATGCAGGCCATTCCCCCCGCAGCTCCGTGCGAAGACTTCCCGTTCATGGCGTCGAGGGTCGGAGGAAGAGGAAGAGGAGAAGTTCTTTCTCTCTTTTTTTTTTTTTTTTTTTACTTTTACTCAAATGTTTGTTCCTGGAGACACAAAGAGAAAAAGCGGAGCTCGAGGTTCCAGCTGCGAACCACCCGAGAAACTGTCCGCACACCGAGGGGCCGTGAAGGCAACACGCAGGGAGGGATACCGGACTTCCGGTTGGGTTGACAGAATAAAAGCACCCAAAGAAGAGAGGAGGAGAAGAAATAAGTTTCACCAAAATAAATCATTTGGGTTTTTTTTTAAAGTCCCTTCATTGAGACAATACCAGAAAGAAAACATAAACGTATTCACGTCGTCCCTCAAATTCAAACCTGAATAAACAAAAAACTGTGATAAAACACGAAACGTCCAAGAGAAGAGAAGATGAAACTTTATTGACCCACACTTCCGCGTGCCTTTTTACTGCTTACTATGTTGTACTAGTACTAGTTGTACTATGTTTTGAGTATTTTCCTTAAGGAAGTTTTGTGTTTTTCGATTGTGACACTTGAACTCTGTGTGACCAATAAATGGTCAAACTGTTTGTACTTCAAAATATAAATATCTACCATTCATACTGCACAATCCTTTTTCTAGTATTCCTATTTTGATATTTATCCTTGCACAGACCACAGACAGATCTTTGTATGTGTAAACCTGTATGTTTTATTTTTCAATGGTAGAAGTGGGATAAAACACAATTGAGTGACTCATTTCCCCTTTTGTCTCTTGGATAAATGGCATCAATATATTTGTGCATGTGATTTATTGTGTGTATTTTGAATATACTGTATTTCTTATGGGTTATTATCTCTTTATTGTGTTGCCGTGGAGGTGATGTGTGTGCAGTGCAGAGCCTTTTATTTTGGAGCTCCACTTCTCTCCTGTTGAGATGAATTGTTGTAAAGTTGACGCTTGTGGCTCGTGGCAGTGAAATCTGCTTCCTGTCCATTTAACACAGTGACTGCTGGGCGTCTCCCTGCCAACAACACAACTGTCTCCAATTATCATGTTTATTCATGTGTCATTTGATAATTACACTAAATGAATGATTACTCAAAACATTTCATAAGAAGATAATTCAATTAAATTCCTATAAACCACACTCTTGAATTGAATTATAGAAAGAAAACCCTGACACATTTAAGCCCAAATACTTTGTTTATGAACTCAAACTGTACAAATATCATCTGCATGAAGAAAGATGATTCACTGTTGATCATAATTTCTTAACTTTCATTGAAGGAAAAAGAGAATTTCAACTTCTGATCTTTTAAACGAGTGAATCTTTGTTCCGATGATTGTCTGTTACATCTCTAATGATAAAACCAAAGTTAGCTCATGTTGATTTGTCCCTGTTTTAATAAGAAATCTATACTTTGTACGATTTAACATTTAATTACATTTAATAGAGGAGTGTGATTGTTTGATTCCCTCAAATAAAACAAATGGATAGATTTCCACCCTCATGACATCATAGTGCAGACAGAGGGTTTGAGGTCATGAGAGGAGTGTGTGTGTGTGTGTGTGTGTGTAGACAATAGTTTGAATATAAAGGACAGATGGTGGGCTTCACTTCCCGCCCCCCCGGTCTGCGGCCCCGACACAACAATAATACAACAATAACCATGAAACCAACACACAAAAGCATCACACACGCTCTTTAGACAGAGAAGAGCATGTGCTGTGTACCACACACACACACACACACACACACACACACACACAGAGTCAGGCAGATGGATGAAAGCCTGAAGCCTGGTATTCCTCATCTGTCTGTTTCAATAGATAATATTTAACTCATTTGTCTCTGACAGTTAAAACATTAAGATGCACAAGATACATAAGATAAGATATATATATATATACATGGTACAATACGATATGATATGGTACAGTAATCTTTTATTAGTCCCACAACAGGGAACTCTGTTACAGCATCAATATACAATATAAATGCAAGTAAATATAAAAGATATAAATGAACTAGAACTAATATATATACAATGTGAGATTAAGTTAAGCAGATATCATCGTCCAGAGATTCGAATGTGTCTCAAATTGTTTTAATAGCATTTTATCAATATGGAATTATATGTTGTATTTGCCCTTGAATAAATCCAAATCCCCTCTGCCCGCTCCAGCAATTAGCCATCAGCTAACAGTCCACATCTGCACAGTTTACCCAGCCGGTTCAGGGACAATCTGTTTGTTTCAGGGGTTTTATGAGCAGCGGGACCCTCTGTAAGCTTTCATCCCCACCACCATTATCATTATCGTCGCTGCCGCCTGCGATCTAAGGATTAGGCGTATGATGGAACCCCCTGGGGATGCATGTAACCGTAGCAGGGTGGTGTTAATCTGCGTTACTAAAAAGCACAATGAGTTTGGATCACTTAGCGTAGGCTGGCTAATAATGGTCCAAAGATATCCGCTTATAGTCCCGGCTGGAAATGTGATCTCTTACCTAAAGGCCAAAGAAAGAGTACAGTGAATATACACACGTCACTCCTGTACATTTCATTCTGCTGTTTAAATGGCCATTGTATTAGTAGATCAACAAATGATTTACTTTGAAAGTCAATTTATGTTTTATCTTATTTCTTCTTACATCATTTTAGGTTTTTTCTTTTGAATTTTGGTTTTCTGCCACCTTCTGAATTAAAATTCAATAATATGAACCGACACCTCAAATAATAACACAAAAGTGTGCTTCCGTCCCGTCTCACTACAGGAACAACTGACACAACGTCACCGCGTTGAACTTGGAGCTTGTCTGGGATGTGTCACCGTCAGAGAGAGACAATGGGTATGAAAGGAAGGAGGGAGGTTGTGAGTGTGCGTTTGGAGGAGGTCAGCTTCCTGTAGTGTGTGGCAGGTCAGGAAAGAGGAGTGGCCGGTGGTAACAGCTGTTGCGGGGCCTCAGCAGGAGGAAGAGGAGGATGAGGGTTTCCTCCCCGAGTCACACAGGATCGGTCTCTGTGGTGGTGGGGTTTTGCAAAAACACAAAATGCAAGTTTGTGTAACTTTGAATTTAAAGGGGCGGTTGGGCCTTGGTGGAGGGATGAGCTCCACTGAGTGGTATTCTTTAAACGTCTCATCTCACGACCTCAAGCGTCAGAGAGAATCCACGCTTCCTGTCCCGGATGCATTCATCACTTGACGGGGTTGACGCCTGTGCAGCCAGATGGTTTTCTCAGCACGAGGATGTGGTGACTGGAGCGGGACGTGTGGATTCTGACACGCTCTGTCACTGCCCCTGGCCTCGCTCCAGTCTGGGCTGAGGCGACAGGAGGGCGTAGTCCTGATCAGCAGCTGGCCTCACGCTGTCTGACCTCTGACCTCACCCTCCACTCCCCCTCACCCACCAGCTCTGGTACGCCCACTATCTGTCTGCCTTCCTCACACAGCACACCCCCCTTCACTATACACACTTTCAGAGGTTTTGTTCTTTGAATGTCTGTGTCACATTATCACAGATTTTAAAAAGCTCTGAAAGTAAAATCATTCAGTAGTGAATATTTATTGTTTGATGATGTTTGAATTACTCCAAACAGGTAAATTGAACAATAAAATATTTTTATTAGCAACAAAACCATGAACAAAGAACTTAAACGTATAAAATTCGGATGTTTTTGCAGTAATCTTCACATTTCACGTACAAATAATAAAAGTGTAAACCACCCTCCTGTGTTTTACTGTAAATGTGAACATCAGTATTGCAGCATGACTATGGAATATTCAGAAACCCTCACAGAGCCCGACCCTGCGGACGGACGCAGTGTTCGGTGTCAGAGCGAAGTGGAAATAAACAGCTAGCGAGTGTGAAATGTGATTCCTGCAGATCAGCAGGGGTCAGTCGGTGTCTCCTGATGTCTGAAGGACACATCGGACTAAAATCAGCCCATCCACCCACAGAGGAGGCAAAAATACCTGCAGCAGTTTTCACAACATACTGGAACTGTCACTGATTGCTGATCAATACGATAGAAAATAGTGTTAGAATGACGTATTCCATGCAGTGAAAACCACAGTGCTTCACATTCTGATAAAACACACAAACCTGAGGATTTACTGGAAATGTTTTTTCCTGATGAAACTGAAAACTCAGTGAACTTACATTATCTGTTAAACCCTGATGCTTTCTTAAAATGCTAAAGCATTGGGCTGTCAGCCGGCACTTGTGATAAGAGAAGAATGTGTATTATTGTATTATGTGTATGAAAAAACAATCTCACTTGGAAGTTAAACCATGTATTAAAACCAAAAGTTGTTAATACCACAAAAAGGCAAATGTTAAAACTAATTCCCTGAAACTTCTCTCGGATATTTGGAAGTTCGTTTTTTTTCTCCTCAGCAGAGACAGGAGTCAAGATGCTCATTGATCTTTGACTCCTGCACCTTCGCTTGGCACACGGGACAGCTGACCATCAGCGAGGAGGAGGAGGATGAGGAGGAGGAGGAGGAGGAGGAAGAAGTGGTGGCTGTAGCAGTAACAGGTCTTTGCTGCACTGCAGGTGATCTTGTCTTTACCGACTCCCCTGACGCTGATGATTCGGCGCCTAATGTTTTCTGGAAGAAGTCAAAGATGCTGGCTGAGCTGTTGTCCCACGGCCTCTTCCTCGGGTTCTGACCCCCGCCAGCTGCACCTGACGTACTGTCACTGTTGAAATATTTTGACTGTGTTGGTTTATCGGTGCTGTCTCTGTTTAAAGCTACAGTTGGACCTGGCGTAGGCGTGCTGGCAGAGGAGGAACTTTGTTGTTTAGGAATCAGTGAAGAGACTGAGGTAGCGCTCGTCTTTGGCGATGTCAGCGAGTCTCTTTTAGTCTCAGTATTTGAGGAGTGGCTCCCTGATTTTCTGACGCCTATGCTGTTAAAAACGTCCTGGATGGACTTTTGCTTTGTTGTCTCTGCTCCTTGGCTTCTGTTGCTGTTGCTGTGTGGTTTAAGGATTCTAACCGGTGACCCGTTGATGTTGACAAACACACGCGTGTTACCCACCGACCTCTTTTTAGGCGGCTTTTGGCCCGTGGAGGGAAAAGCACCGGAGATTCCAGAGCGTACAGGCGAAGTGAGACTTTTAGCCGGGGACGAGGGGGGGAAGAGTTTCTTGGGAGGAGAGGAGACTGGGCTGGACGATGGTGTTTTCACAGGAGGAACTGTTGGTTTGTGAAATGGGGAGGAAGACGTGGAGGTCTGCGACTTCCCCCCGAGAAGGAAGCCTTTACCGGTAAACGGGATAATGTTCCTTATATCCTGTGATCCAGAAACTGAGAGGAGAAGAAGTGCAAATTAGAGTGAAGCAGTAGACCAGAGCCGTAGACTGGATATCAAGATGGACGACACATCTCCACTTCCTCTCGCTGTACAGAAATAAGTTATCTAGTTTTTACGGCATCAAATAACTTTATATTTATATATTTAAATGACACTTCATGATCTGTGCAAATAAGTGATTCTAAAACACTTAACGGTTCGTAAATGTTGAAACTACACATCGATTACAGCTGAAGACACACAGGAGGTCCGGTCGTGTTACCTGTAGCTGTACTGGAAGGTTTGCCACTTCCAGAGGTCTCCTTAATTAACGTCTTCCCGTCCTTTTTACCATCCTTCTTGCCTTTCTTGCCATATCCTTCAGGCTCCTTGATCTTGGTGTAAGTCCCGCCACACGTCCTCTGGTGGTCCGCCCACCAGGGGTCCAGAGACGACGGAGCCCGGTTCATGGCCCTCTTCACGTAGCCAAAGAAGGGCTTGCGGTTCTGGCAGGGCCCGTTGCACCGCCACCAGTGCTGCCGGTACACATCAACCTCATCGTGGAAGCTGTGGTAGATCTGAGGAGAAGACGGAGGACGGACAGGAGTTTCAGTGGGTTGTTTTTTCTTTAGATCACAGTATTAATTCATTGGTAAGATTTCGGCTGAATGTGTATTAGAGGAGGTCGTACGGTGATATTCGTTCCAGTGGCATCGTTGATACGATTCATATGTTTGCAGAACTCAGGTCCGTGACCGTCTCTGTCTCTGTTGTTCTGGGTCACGAACAGGAGGGCGTGAATCATTTCATGGAGGAGAGTCTGGGGAAACAAAAAAAAAAAAGATTCCTCTCTGATCAAGGATTCCAGATCACATTCCCAGCTGGGATTTAAGACTTGAGTGTTTCCTCGTTACCTGAACCAGGTCTTTTCTGGGTCTCAGTTTCAGCAGAGGTTCACTGAGTCTGATGGAACACAGTCCACCTCGGCCCTCGTACGAACACACACCAGCACATCTAAGAAAAAGAGCAGACACATTAAACAGTGCATGGAAATATCAATGATAAATCGGCAGCATTGATTTATTGAGAGGACCCAAACCAAACTCCATGTAAAAATCAGGCAATTTTACAGGATTTGGATGATACAGTGATTTTGACCGAACAGCCACGTCAACATCAGACACCAGCTGACAGCAGGTGACTTACAGCGTCATTCGGCGGCTCCACTTCACCTCCACGCCGCTGAGCTTCCCCCAGAAGAACGTGTGGTTGAACTCCAGGAACATGGCCCGGACATCGGGGCTGGGGTCCAGCGTCTCCCAGGACTCGTCCACGATGGACAGCGGCCTCTCGGGCTTCTCCCAGCGGGGGACGACCTCGCCGCCGGTGCCGGAGGAGGACACGTCCAGCCTCCGCTTCTTGCTGCTGCTCTGTCCGACATCATCGAGACGGTTCGACGGGAACGACGACGTCTGGTACTCGGTGTCAAACTGCTCCTGCAGCTGCAGCGCGAGCAGGAAATCCTCCTCCATGACAACAGGAAGTCATTAACCAGCTGACGGACGTTAGCTCACCTCGGGTGGCATCTGTCCAATGCACGTTCTGTTCAAATATCTCAGTAAACTGTGATAACGTCTAGAATGACTCCATCTTTTCTTCTTGTTGACGTTTGCTCACAGCCGCCAAAAACTTCCGGTGTCCCTCCGCTCAAAATTTGACCTACTTCCGCTGAATTTCAAAATAAAATTAGACAAATTAAAACAAGCGCTGTACTAAAGTAGTTTTTTGTATAATTGTACTTTACTTGAGTTTTCATATTTTCTACCACTTAGTAGCAATAATAATACGATTGTTTGTACTTTATAGCACCTTTCAGAACACACTTACAAGGTGCTTTACAAGTACAATGACAAATGTAGTGATCACACAGCATTAGAATAAAAATAGATAGATACAGGAATAACAATATGTAACAGATGAGGATAAGAGAAAAAAAAACAAGATAAAATAAACATTTTTAGAAACTGTCGTAAGATCAGAACTTATAATTTATAGTTTTCAAGTGGCTTCTTAGAACTCAGCTTTTTTATCTGCTCTTATTGTGAAACTGAAAGTTGAGCAAAAAAACCAAAGCAATGAATCCTGGGATATGTAGTATTTATGTATATTATGTAGTTGGTCGATACAAAAACCCTTCCGGGGTCTTTTTATGTCGTTTAATGATCAAGATAATTAAAGATATTGACAAATTTTAAATTTTAAATTAATATTTAAATGATTTTGAGTGAAGAGTGACCTTATGTTTCAATCACAACAAAAATCATTCAAAGAAAATAACCACTGTGTGAGCTGTTTGTTGATCATCTGTGTTTCGCCTGAATCCCGTGACGTTCCAAGGGAGTTGACTACTTCCTGTTTGGGTTTCAAAGCGGAAATGAACTGTGGAGCTGTGACCGACTCTTCCTCTGCGAACATTTAGCGTCGACTTGATTTTTAACACAACAATCGCACAACATGTCGGAAACCGGTAACCGGCTCCGGAAGCTGCTCGAATCGCCGAACTTCGAGCCGCAGAACTACGTGAAGCAGCTGTCGCAACAGTCCGACGGCGACCGAGACCTGCAGGAGCACCGGCAGAAGATCCAGAACCTGGCGGACGAGACGGCGCAGAACCTGAAGAAGAACGTCTACAAGAACTACAGGCAGTTCATCGAGACGGCCAAGGAGATCTCCTACCTGGAGAGCGAGATGTACCAGCTGAGCCACATCCTCACCGAGCAGAAGAGCATCATGGAGAGCATCACCCAGGCCCTGCTGTCCACGGACAAGGACGAGACCTCCAAGGAGATGCAGGCTGCTTTCCCCAAAGAGACCGAGGAGCTGAAGCAGAGGACGCTCACCTCCCTGCTGGAGAAGGTGGAGGGAGCTAAGACCATCATGGACACCCCGGGGAGGCACCTTGTCTACAACGGAGACCTGGTTGAGTTTGACGTGGACAACATGTCCCCCATCCAGAAGGTGCACGCTTTCCTCATGAACGACTGCCTGCTGATCGCCACCTGGCTGCCCAACCGCAGAGGCACCGTGAAGTACAAGTACAACGCCCTGTACGACCTGGAGAGCTTCGCCGTGATCAACGTGAAAGACAACCCCCCCATGAAGGACATGTTCAAGATCCTCATGTTCCCCGACAGCCGCATCTTCCAGGCGGAGAACAGCAAGGTCAAGAAGGAGTGGCTGGAGATCCTGGACGAAACCAAGAAGAGCAAGGTCACCAAGGAGCGGCACAAGAAAGAGGAGGAGGTCCCGATCTCACCTGTGAGAGCAGAGGTGTCCACCAACCCTTTCGACGAGGACGAGCCAGTGGACGCCCAAGAAGGCGTGGACCTCAGCCCGGAGTGGATCCAGGAGTTGCCCGAGGATCTGGACGTCTGCATCGCCCAGAGAGACTTCGAGGGCGCCGTGGACCTGCTGGACAAACTCAACGAGTATCTCAAAGACGAGCCGGTCACCCAGAAGGTCAAAGACCTCAGGCTGACGGTGGAGGAGCGTGTGCGGCAGCTGACGGAGGTCCTGGTGTTCGAGTTGTCTCCGGATCGTTCACTTCGCGGAGGACCTAAAGCCACAAGACGGGCTGTGTCCCAGCTGATCAGACTAGGTATTTTGTTTTCAGTCACACCTCACACATCCACCACACAGCAGCTGGTCTTGTGTCTTCTCTAAACCGTCTTCACGCCACCATGGGCTAATGGTTTCTGGGGGACAATATTAAATCCCATTAATTTATGTTTATTGTTTTCTATTTCAGCAAAAAATGAAGAGGTCAACCTTTCTAAAAAAGTGTGTAGTCGTAGCTACAATAGACAACAACACAATCGAGAATTACAGCATGAATCCATTAAAAAATCTGGGCTGAATCTACTTTTCCACTCCTGCTGAATAGTTTTATTCCGCTGTGTTTCAGGCCAGTCCACAAAAGCCTGCGAGCTGTTTCTGAAGAACCGTGCTGCCGCGGTGCAGACGGCCATACGGCAGCTTCGCATCGAGGGGGCCACGCTGCTCTACATCCACAAACTCTGCAACATCTTCTTCACCAGCTTGCTGGAGACGGCCAAGGAGTTTGAGATGGATTTTGCAGGAAACACAGGCTGCTACTCTGCCTTCGTGGTCTGGTCCAAATCGGCCATGAGGATGTTCGTGGACGCCTTCAGCAAACAGGTAGGAAGAGGAGACGAGTCACAAAGTCAGACAGGACAACCACAGGGTTTAATGATGTGGCAGTCATCCTGAAACTGGGACTGTTTATTGTCTTCAGGTGTTTGACAGTAAGGAGAGCCTGTCAACGGCAGCGGAGTGTGTGAAAGTGGCTAAAGAACACTGTCAGCAGCTGACAGAGATCGGCCTGGACCTGACCTTCACCTTGCAGTCGCTGCTGGTCAAAGACATCAAGGCGGCGCTGCAGAGCTACAACGACATCATCATCGAAGCCACCAAGCACCGAAACTCCGAGGAGATGTGGAGGAGGATGAACCTCATGACCCCCGAGGCTCTGACTAAACTCAAGGTGCACGTTCTGTTTGTTCTTGTTGGTTCTCAAGTTGTCAGTGAAGTAACGTCAGATTGGAAGAATGATGTCACAGATACATTATCATATTGGTCTTTTTCTCTGCAGGACGAGATGCGCAGCTGCGGCATTGGCAGCTTCGAGCAGTACACTGGTGACGGCTGCTGGGTGAACCTGAGCTACACCATCGTGGCCTTCACCAAGCAGATGATGAGCTTCCTGGAGGAAGGACTGAAGCTCTACTTCCCCGAGCTGCACATGGTGCTGCTGGAGAGCCTGAGGGAGATCATCCTGGTGGCCGTGCAGCACGTGGACTACAGCCTCCGCTGCGAGCAGGACCCCGAGAAGAAGGCCTTCGTCCTGCAGAACGCCACCTTCCTCCACGACACGGTGCTGCCCGTGGTGGAGCGGAGGTTCGAGGAGGGCGTGGGCAAACCGGCCAAACAGCTGCAGGACCTGAGGAAAAGCACGAGGCCGGTTCGCATCAACCCAGAGAGCACCACGTCGGTGGTCTGAGACTGATCCCAGCTTCTTTAGGACATTTCAACAAAAGTGAGAAACTGCAATAAAGCTGTTGCCGAACGTGGCAGTACTTTCAGCTGGACGTCGGTTGTTTTGCGACAGGACACGGATAAAACATGAATCCTAGGAAACGTAAGTATGTGAGAAAAGATACTTCGGAGTCCCATAAAAATACTTATTGAAATTGGCTAATAGTGAAAAGTAAAATGATCTATATGCTGTGCAGTTTTTTGGGCACGTTGTGACCCAGTGTTCTCTGAAATAAGGTAACACAATTTTTTTTTTTTCGTGGAGTATCTGAGTACTCCAGCTGTTAGAAAGTGAAAATGTTGTGATGTTTGATCCTCTCACATCATTATTGTTCAGGCTACTGGATCGTTATCAGGCACCAAATAGTATCCTGACATACTAGGACTGATTCAAAAGGGATGACTGAAAAGAACATGCACTGGTAAATGTTCACTGCTTTACTGTAAAAAGTCCAAATTGTTTGTTTGACAGTAACATAAGAAATCTATTAAAAACCATAATGCACAAACACAACCTTTATTTCTTTATTTGGTTTAAATGCACTGAACCACCTCCGCTGGTTTATCCTCTGTTGTGTCTGTGTTCCTCCAGATCTGAGCTTTGTGTCTTTACACACTGAAGACACACAACTCTCCTGCAATAGAGACGTTTATCACAGCAGCCATATTGATTTCCACACACGTGTAATTAATAACATTAACAATGGCTCAGTTCTCGACGAGCTGTTCCAGTGAGCGTGCATTCACAAAACAAAGACCCTGGAATGACTCCCCTGAGTTGGAGTGACGCTTTTGTTCTCTGCTTTGTCAAAAATATCTGCTGTAAAATTATATTTCCATGTTCATTTTAAATTATATAATAATAATAAAACCTTTATTTATATAGCACTTTTCTTCATAAAGAGCTTAACCGAAATTAAAAATAATTAGATTAAGAGAAAGATAATAAAACAAGAATGGCCCAACAGTTCCCTCTATAACCACATTCAGATTTATTTCACAAACTCATAGATATCAGCTTCATTAATGAGCCTGAATAAAAAGTTCTTAATGCAGCTCGGACTTTCATTGCTTCAAAAGTGATAAGTAGAATTTTAAAATCAATGCAGATGAACATCAATGTCTTTCTTCCCTGTCCATCCATCTACTTTATCTCAATATATTTTTCAAACGTGCATCAGCGCTCTTCTTATTCTCTATCATTTATTATTCTTTATCATTTCCAGAAGAGTCACATTAAAGAAGTCTTATCTTTTCATTTTTACAGCAGCCATTTTGACTTAGTCATAGTGGGAGGTAACAGCATTTAATGACGTCTCCTCTCCTGCAATTATTTCAGTGCGATGCAGCGAGTGATGTTATTAATTTCACCTGTTCGATGTGTTTATTCAGCCTGAGGTGTTGGGCTGCGTTTCAAAAGTTAGGAACCATTGTAACAGAGGAAGAAACTAATCGGCCAAAACAGGGAAACAACATAATTAATGAAAACTCTGTCTGCAGATTATTGGATGAATCCAGTCTTATACTTTTACTTTTCATTCTAAAAACATCTTAAGATACAGAGATGGACAGAAACACTGAGTTATACTTCCATAATAAAACGTCTCTCTCTCCAAAATAAAAGCAACAACGATGATTTGCATGCTCAATTAAAATATATCTTCCAATAACACAAAGATAAGTTTATTTCTTGATCCTTAATTCATGACTATATTGCCCTCTTGTGGCGCCCCCTCTATTGAACCGTATTCCTGGAAAACATCATAAAAGTCGGAGTTGTATTTATTTTTACTAAACGTCTGTGTTCTAAATATCCTGTTGTTTGGTAAAAGATACAATTCTGAATTCAATCATCTGACCAGCGACAACAGATCCAGTAAAACCAATCTGGATCACGTTACTGAAACATGCAAACAGATGCTCCTCTCTTGCTGTAAAACTGCAACAGGAACTGACGATGCAGATATTTTTAGACGCGTGATTGTTCTCTCTGCTTCACAGCTCATCTCGTTATAATCACTGATGTGATCGAGGGCTCGGGGAAAGCCTCGGGTGAAGTTATCAGCTTATCCTCCTCAGAGAGTCGGTGGACAGGGGTGGGAGGATTATTCAAGAGGACTTCACTCAGTCAGCGCAGGGAAAAATATAAACAATTACAGTAATAGTTTTAGGTCAGCAAACATTTAGAAGAGAAGCTTTAACTCAGCATCTTCATCCAAGAAACAGCTTCTGTTTAATACAGAATAATTTAATTCCACTTTATTATAACTCAAGATACTTATAACTGATTATATTGATCCTGGAGGGAAATGACTCAGCAAAGCATTTACAATCAACCCCATTGTTCCGATTCAAGCGATGCACTCGTGTTTCAATAATTATTATCCAACAAGACATAATGTAGGTGAATGGATTCTGATTAATTGGTGCTTTTACCATTAGTACTTAAAATATACATTGATACTAATACGGTAACATTTTTTACTTGCAGCTGAGTATCTGTAGACTATTTACATCTGAGTACTTCTTCCAACTCCTGTATTTCATTCTTTAAACCCTCAATGTGTAGGATTTTAAATGTTTTTAATGAAAGCTCTATGCACAGTGACAATGAAAGCAAAGGAAAAGGTGTAGAGTTGAATGTGTGTAGATGCAGAGTATGCTGCAGTACATGTGAAGACTTAGATGAATGTCATAATTTACAGGTAATGAAACTAACAGCGCTGATAAATGGAAAGTTGTCCCAGTGGGATTAATGCTCCACCCTGATGGGCCTCAGTCACGGCTGCTGATGTTGAGCTAACACAGAGGGACGTCAAACCACACAAAGGTTAAAAAAATCCTTCTCCCACACGATCCGAGCATCTGTCGTCTCCGCTGCAAACTCCCCAAAGTCACCTGAAACACTTTCTTTTCAGTTTTTAAAGGTGTCGATTAGTTTTAAAATGTTACTTGATTTCTGCGTCCGCTCCGTCTCGAGCTGTCAGGCAGAACGAATGCAGATGATTACGTCATGGTCAGATAAATGATCGTCATTATAATCGTCATGACCACCATTACCGTTGACATAATGATGGACGATCAGAGCCTCATTGTTCCCTGCTTCAACATCACAGGGCTTATTCTCCTTCGTTAGATTTCCTTTGAAATATAATTTTATACATGAAGAGGTTTTATTCTGTTTATTGTGATATAGTAGATTTAAATTTTATTATAGTTAATCATACTTTAGATTACGTTACAGATGAAACCACCAAACTGTAAATAATTCAACCTCAAACATGTAAAATATTAAAACCCTGTCATATGTTAAAGGATGAAGAATATTATCTAGAAAGATTTTAAATGCTGTACAATTAGTACTTTTACTTTTGATCCAGTAAATACAAGTATTTTTTTTAAAACTTTGATTTGTTTTTTTACACATCGGAAGTAGTTCTCTTATGTAAAGAAAATAACCCGAGTACTTCCATCGCTGTACAAACCCAGCCTGGATTCGACCCTGTGAACAAATCATGACAGTGTGGGTGTTTCAGAGCCTTTCAATGAACCCGTCACTCAAACCACACAGTCCCCGCCCCCCCCACCCTCCCTGCAGCGCATGCGCAGAGCCGCTTTGGGGGAGCTGTCCGCGTCAGTCGGTGCTGAAAGTGTTTTCTCCGGAGCTTCTCCCTCCTCTTCACCGACACGATGGAGGAAGAGTTAAAATGTCCCGTGTGCGGTTCCCTCTTCCGGGAGCCCGTCCTGCTGCCGTGCTCCCACAACGTGTGCCTGGCCTGCGCCCGCAACATCACGGTGCAGACCCCGGAGGGAGAGACCCCGGTGCAGAGCCGAGCCTCGGGCAGCTCGGACTACGACTACCTGGACATGGACAAGATGAGTCTGTACAGTGAGACCGACAGCGGCTACGGCTCCTACACCCCCTGTCAGCTCAAGTCCCCCAACGGGGTGCGGGTGTTTCCGCCGGCCGCCGCTCACCGGCACTGCTCCCTCACCTGCCCGCTGTGCCACCGGAGCGTCTCCCTGGACGAGCGGGGGCTCCGGGGTTTCCCTCGGAACCGGCTGCTGGAGGCCATCGTGGCGCGGTACCAGCAGAACCGCGCCGCCGCCGCCGCCGCAGCCGCTTCCTCCTCCTCCTCCTCCACGGCGGTGAAGTGTCAGCTGTGCGACCGCAACCCGGTGGACGCGGCGGTGATGTGCGAGCAGTGCGACGTCTTCTACTGTCACTCCTGCCAGCAGCGGTGCCACCCATCCCGCGGTCCGCTGGCCAAGCACCGCCTGGTGCCGCCGCCGAACCCAGCGGCAGGTGGAGGTGCGGCAGCAGGAGGAGGAGGAGGAGGAACCAAGGGTCAGCAGCCGCCGGCCACCGCGCGGAAACCGGCGACCTGCGTGGACCACGAAGCGGAAAACTTCAGCATGTTCTGCTGCAGCTGCAAAACTCCGGTGTGCGTCAAGTGTCTGGAGGAAGGAAAACACAACAAGCACGATGTCAAACCGCTGGCGGTGATGTGGAAACAACACAAGGTGAGTTACACACACACACACACACACACATCTATCTTACTGACGACACTCATTGGCATAATTCACTCTCCATTCTTATACTAATACTAAACCTAACTCACCCTCAGGCTGATTTCAGTAACTTAACCAGAAAGTGAGACAAAACCAAAAATGTCCTCACTCTTAAGATCTTCAAATGGTCCTCAGAAAGACATCTATACAAGGTTGAACACACACACAGTGTCTCCATGACTTCAGGGGACATTGTTATTACATTGATTTCCAACATTAACCATAGTTACTACGTGTCCTCCCTGAACCCTCGACCTGAAACAAAGCTTAAACTTTCATGATTTACCTTTGACCCCATGAGGAAGACAAGTCAACACAACGAGACGGGTTTGGGCAGCGATTGACTTCCATCCATCCTGGACATACTGAACCATCACCAACTCATGCCTAACCCGAACCTTAACCATCACAACTAAATACGTAACCCTAAGCAAAATGTCCTCACTGTCCCATAATGTCCTCTCTCCTTATGGTCTATGCTCAAATACAAATAAGCTGCGAAGCCATATAGGCATCTGTGTGTGTGTGTGTGTGTTGCCTGATGTGGCCTCTGTGGAATTGAAAACCTCGTATCAATCAAGCTTCTCATTCTCACCTGCTTGTTTCTTACGGTTATGTTAATGTGTTCTCCCCACAAACCCCCCAGCATCTCCGTGGTTTTCCCGCTGATTGTGAATCTTGAATCGTGGGGGGGG